AATTACTGTTTACATTTGTTAAACTCATAAGTTTTTTGCAATGGGACTGTGCCACTTTACATTCCCACCAATAATGTGTGAAAGTTCCAATTTCTACACATCTTATCAATACTTGAATTTATCATTCTTTTGATTTTAGCCTTTCTAATGGATTAGTGCTATCTTACTATGGTTTTAATTTATATTACCCTAATTACTAATAGCATCCTTTTATGTGGCTGTTAGATATTTATGTATCTGATTTGGTGAAATGTCTGTTCATGCATTTTATCCATTTCTAAATTGGGTTGTTTGACCTCCTGTTGAGTTTTAAGTATGCTTCATAAAATCTGGATATAAATTCTTCACCGTATATATGATTTGCTAATATTTCTCTTCCATCTGTGGCTTATATTTTCCTTTTCTTAATGGAGCAAATTCTGAGAAGTTAAAGAATTTTAAATTTGATTAATTCCATTTTATCAATTTTTTTCCTTTTGATTATGTTTTTGATGTCTTAGCTAAGAAATCTTTGCTTAAATGAAGTATTCTAGGAATACAGTTGCCAGTAGATAGAAATACAGTTTATCATGATATACTGATTTTTCATCCTGTTATGTTGCAAACTTGGTCATTTGTTCTAATTTTTTGTAAATTAATGAATATTCTCTATATACGGTATCATGTCATTTACATTTTTCATTTCTAATCTATGTTTTTAATTTCTATTATTGCCTTCTTGTACTGGCAAGAATTTACAATACAGTGTTAGAATGATGAAAGCAAACATCTTTTTCTCAGTCTTAGGAGTAAAATATTTAGTCTTTCCCCATTAAGCATGATGTTAAATGTAAGCTTTTTACTAATGCCCTTGAAGAAGTTCCCTTGTATTTCTACTTTGTTGAGATATTTATTATGAGTGTTGGTTTTGTCACTTTTTCTGTGTCTACTGAGATGATCAAACAATTTTGTTTTTTATTCTAGTCACATGATGTTTTACATTGATTTTCAGATTTTAAACCAGCCTTGCATTTCCATGTAACCATCGTATGTTTCTGATTTTATTTTGATAATTATTTTGTTGAGTATTGAGTTTATATTCATGAAAATGATGATCTGCAATAATGTGATTTTTTTTTTTTTTGGTCTATTTCGTATCAGAGTGATATTGGCTGGATAGGTAGAATTCATCTCATACTGGGCTTTTCTTTGTGGATAGTTTTTTAATTACTTATTTTATTTTTTTACTTGTTATGGATATTCCCAGGTTTTCTATTTTTTCTTGAGTCCAGTTTGATATTTTGTGTCTTTCTAGGCATTTATCCAACCATCTGTCTAATTTAGTTGCATAAAATTGTTCATAATATACTCTTTTAATTTTTAAAAATTTCTCTAGAGGATCCTAATTTTGATTAAATTTTATTTCTCTTTTTCGTTTCCTCTTTTTTTTTTTTTTTTTGCTTAATCTATTCTAAAGATTCATCTATTTTATTGATCTTTCCAAAGAACCAATTTTTGTTTTATTTATTTCTTCCTATTATTTTTCTGATGAGGGTCAGTTATAAGCATCTTGTTGTTGTTCCCTTATATGTGAATGGTTGTATTTTGCTGTTTTCAGAATATTCTCTCTGGTTGTCAGCAGTTTGTCTATGATGTGTCAGAGTATGAATCTCTTTGTGTTTATTCTATTTGGAATTTATTGACTTTTTGAATATGTAGATTAATGTTTTTCATTAAATTTGTTAAGTTTTGCCCATTATTTCTTTGAATATCTTTGCCCCTAAATCTCCCTTTCTTTCTGGGCATTTCATTACATCTATGTTGGCACTATTGATTTTTGTCTTACGAGTCTCTGAGCCTCTGATCATCTTCCGTCTCTTCTCTCTTTCATTTTGGTCATTTGCAAAACCAAAACACTGTTCGTTTTAGATAATATATTAGTCATGAGGGAACGATTTGCATGTCCTTCTATTCAGGGTTCTCCTTTGACTTGCAAGATCCCAAACTTCTCCCTCTAGCTTCTTTTCCCTTCACTCTCTATGCTTGAACAGGTGCCTCTTCCTTCCCTCTTATTCTTCTCTGCCCTGAGAATGGTGCCACTCTGATGTCACCTCACTATACTTGTACCTTATGCTGCATTTTCTTTCCTAGGGGGTTATTTTGAGTCTGTGTTAGGCCTCCTTTCTTTGCTTTTCCTTACAGCTTTTCCTGATCCAATCCCACTCCTATAGCTCTATGCAAAGACTTACAGTGAGCACAAGAGACATCTCTTCTAGAACTTTGGCTTTACCTTTCTATTTACATCTGTAGAAGTCTACTGTCTTCTTGTTATGTTGAAGGCATTGGATTTATGTGATCTTATTTGTTGTCGATCTTATTTGTATAGCTTTGTGGATATATGAAGAGATTAAATTGAGTCAACAGTCATTATCTCAAGTTCCCTTCTACATGTATCTTGGCAAGTCATTTAGGTGAAATATGGAACATGTTTGTGAGCTTCGTATAAGAATAGAGGATAAGTTTGTTTAGATAGTTTGTTTAGAATGTACCAATTTTTAAAATTTTTATTTATTTATTTTTATGTGGTGCTGAGGATTGAACCCATTGCTTCACCTGTGCTAGGCAAGCACTCTACCACTGAACTACCATTCTAGCCTCAATCCCCTAGAATGTACCAATTTTGAGGTGATTCTGCCCATTCATGCAGAGATGATCATCAAGTAGTTAAATAGTTAGTTGGCTTGAACCACAGGAAAGAGATTAGGAATTGCTGCTTTTAAAAACTCTTTAAAAAATAATTTTTTTAAACTAATAAATTAAAAAATAAAACCTCAGAGTCCTGGTAAGCTAGAATTAGAGCCAAAAATTCTTTTGTGGAATTCCTGCCTAGGTCTAACTCTTGCTTACATTTTGAACTCATCTTCCATGTAAAGGTTTATTAAGTAGATAATATTGAGAGGTTACCAGGTGAAGTACTGTGTTCTGCAGCTTATTTTATTGTAAATAGCAGTTTGGTTGATATGACGAAAGATCTAATTAAATTGAGGAATTAGTCGTTATGGAACCTATTGGGGGAAAAAGGAAAAGAATAGGTAAATAGACCAAATAACTACCTAGAGAAGAATGAGAAAACAAAGCATATAAAGCCAAGCAGATGGCACAAACCTGTAGTCCCGGCTACTCAAGAGGCTGAGAAAGAATGATCATAAATTCAAGGCCAGCCTCAGCAACTTAAGAAGACCCTGTTTCAAAATAAAAAATTAAGAGGGCTTGGGATGTAAGCTCAGGGTAGCCAAGTACCACAAATTTAAAAGAAAGAGAAGGGGGGAGGGAACAAGAAAGAAAAGATTGCTACACTAAAGCTTCACAATTACCCTTGTGTCATATTCATAGTTTCCTCATATTCCATGGTAACTGTCATGCTTATCAAATAGGTTAGTCATAAATTTATGAAGTTCAGTATCAATAACTTTCTAAAGCAGATTTGTAGTTTCTCCTATTCTCTTTCGACCACCTACTATTAGACCAAAGACAATACATGCATATTTTTATTTAAATACCTTTAAGATAATAATATCTAAGTGAAAATATAGTATAATTAATAGGGTTTGTAGAACTTAATCCATGATGGATTTACCATGTATTTCTTATGTGTGTGTTTGCTTGAATTTTCTCCTTTCAGAGGGAATAGAATATACTTTTTAAAAAATTGTAAAATAGTATGTTAGTAATCCTTTGCCCAAACACTTTTCCCTACTGTATATTTTCATGGTAGCAAATGAGAGTAGATGATTGAGATAATCTATGGATGGAAAAGACAATATGATAGAATTTTTTTAAATGTATATTCATTTGAAACAGAAATTTTACAGGTGTTTAGTTCTTTAAGATGATATTAATATCAAGACCTAGATAAAAATGGTTCTTCAAATTGTGCATTTTTGTGAAGGAACTGAGAGACAGTGTAAGTTGTGATTCAAATTGTGATCTTTGAAACCTGATTGGCTGGGCTCTAATTTTACATTAGCTTCTCTGTGCTTCAGTTTTCTCATCTGCATAAGTGGATAAAATAACACCCACTTTGTAGAATGTTTGTGCAGATTATATGTAGATAGAACAATGCTTTTTAAGTGCCATTATAATAATTACTATTAGATTATATTAACAAGATTTGGCAGGATAAAGGGGTGAGATTTTTTAAGATTCATTAAGCTTTTTATATTTTTCATTTTGGGGCTTATTTATTTAATGATACTGGCTTTATTTGTCATTTAATGTTTGATTCAGTCACAAACATAATCAAAAATGGATGATGCAGGATAGAAAAATTGTTAAACACAGTGTTTCTCTAGAAATCACTATGAATATGAAAGCACTCAGAAAGAATCCGTCTACCTCCTTTTTTGTGCAATATCATTATTTTCTTTGGGGACTAAGGATTAGTCCCCCATTCATATAAAAGCTGAGAGCAATAAATGATGGATGCCCTGGAAAGATTTTGTTATTTTTTAAAGCTGCTTTGTTAGCAGCCCACATTGTCTCTTTCATTCTCTCCACCAGGTGGAAGTCTAGCACTTTGTACCGTGTCTAGTCACCTAAGTCTTCCTAGTCATTGAGGCATTCCTGTAAATTAGGAAGGAGAAGGTAAACACCAGATCGGAGTATGAAATGTTCCTTCAGCTGGATTTTACAGCATTATATTGTAATCATTTACTTGAAGACAATGAAAACAATAGGCTGGACAAGTTTCCTCCCCACAAATTTATGTAATTTAACTGACCCATTATCAGAAATAATTCACAAAATATTTGTGATAGCTGCAAGAACTACACAGGACCAAACTAACAAAACAGCATCCAGGTCTCTCTTTAGCAGCACATGTCCAAATGACATCCAAGTATTTTTAAACGGGTTTAAATTAATCAATGAAAAATCTTTGGCATGCCAGGAAAATTGTTTTTTTAACTGTAGGAATGTTGTCCTTTATAACCTGATTAAGGTTAGTCAATCTTATTTTCCAGGTGCAACATTTTACTGCAGTTCCATCAATATAATAATATAAGTGACTTTGACTATAATGGAAAAGTATGAAAAATTAGCTAAGATTGGAGAAGGGTCTTATGGAGTTGTGTTCAAGTGCAGAAACAAATCCTCTGGTCAAGTAGTTGCTATTAAAAAATTCGTGGAATCTGAAGATGATCCTGTTGTTAAGAAAATAGCACTGAGAGAAATTCGCTTGTTGAAGGTAGGTTAACTCTCTCATACTATTCAAGGCATTAGGTGAAACATGTATGCTAAACATTTTTAAAGTATTATTTCTTTTCCACTGGACTCAAATTCCTTTGCATCAGCAACTTTGGGAAATAAGTAGATCATCACCTTGAACTTTAACCATTCTGATGTTTATCTGATACATATTAGCACAGCTGTAGGTGGTTAAAATATCGAAGTACTTCCATTCTAATGGGTAAACATCCACACCACCTAAGACTCCTTATCCTACTATTACTCCTACCCCCAGCCCCTCTCTGGACATTGTCCCCAACAAACCAGCCACTAAAAGAGCACCTCCTGGCACAGAGGGGCCCATGGGACAGCACTAGTGCCCCTTAGATATTAGTGTTGCTTGGTCCCTGCCTGTATTGCCCTGGTCCTTAGATATACTGAAAATCACCCCCAGCAGTACATACACTTTACATAAAGGATTTTGTCATTATTGTTTTTACTCTGATAGAATTTGACATGTAAGATTCACAAGTTTTCAGTGTTAAGATTTTTCCTATCCTAAAAATCTTCCTTTCGGGGAACTAGAAAGCCAAAACAGTGCTTCTCTGTTATGTAGAAGGAATCCCTTGGGGATCTTGCTGAAATGGGGGATGGGGATCCAGGAGGGGGCCTGAGACTGCCTTTCTAACTAGCTCCCTGACAACAGAGAGGCTGCTGGTTGGTGGGCATTGGCAACAACACCAGTGGTTACACATTAAGTAAGGAGACCCTGTGATTTCAAGAACAATTAGCCTTGACTTTTGAACTGTTTTGTTTTGAACAAAACAGAAACCCAGTTTAAAAAGGGGAGATAATAATTACATTATCCCTCCTTCCAAATATCACTTGCATCAGGTTTCCCCAACGAATACTTCATAGTGTTTTGTTTAAAATATAATTTGAAATACACAGTTTTCAAAACAACCATGATGAAGGAAAAAAAAAAGGATCACTCTTGCCACTTAGCCAGCAGAGGGCAGTGTGAGCTAGCCAGGTCTAGCACCCAATTCTGGGCCAGGCTGCAGGGTGGGTCTGAACCAGGCAGTGTTGTTTTCCATTAAAAATAATGCTTTTACTCTTCTCCCTCTTCCTCCAAAGTCTTTTTTTTAATTTGTTTTAATTAGTTACACATGACAGGACAATGACCTTGATATATCATGCCCTCCAAAGTCTTAATAAGGTCAATGCTCAGCTGGTACCTTCTGAGTTACAAGTGCCCCAATTTGAGAATGTGCATTAAGGTGAAAGCCAGATTTCATCTCAGCTTGGTCTCAGAATGTACTTTTTCCTGCCTCTGGTATGTTGCACCGAGGCATGCCTTGAACATACTTCTTCCATGGTAAATGAGCCTTACTTTCCTCCCATACTCCTGGTATTTAAATTTTATTTTCCTTCTTCTCCTTTCTACCTGGTTTTGGTTTTTTTTTGTGTGTGTTTTGTTGTTGTTGTTTGTGGTGCTGGGGATTGAACCCAGGGCCTTGTGCATGCTAGGCAAGCACTCTACCAACTGAGCTATGTCCCCAGCCCTCTACCTGTTTTACTTTGGGCAAATCACTGTTTGTTGGGGTTATTAACTTCCTTTGCAAAGAATATATAAATTGCTAACCTACCCAGAGACAAGAGATTTGACCAGGTTCAACTTGGCCATCGCAAAAAGCCGTCTCATCTGTGAACCCCTTGCCCGCCTGTCAGGGAAAGCGCTTCACTTCCATTCTGTGGTTTTGCTGCAATACAGATCAGCTGGCTCACCTGTGAGGTGTGGCTCCACTGTTTTTGGACCTTCTGCTCTTTTAGGCACTGGAGCTCATAGAAAGCAAAAATATGCTCTAGGCACATTTTTAATGTCTAAGGTATTCTCATTTTGCAGATTGTTGAGCAGCAAACACACAATTGTAGGGTTATTTTATTTTATTTTATTCATTTTTAGTCAAGCCATACTTAGAGATACAGACATAAAGGCTTGTAATGTAAGGCATACTTAGGATTCTCTACTGGGCCTGCAAAATATTAATTGAGCTTCTATTATATGCAAAATATCTTGTTCTCTTTATATATTTTTCTGGGTAAATACTATAGAGTTTGGAAAGTTGATTTGTCTACTATACTGGGAAAATGACAAGGAAGATAAATTATAAATAGAAGAGATCATATATCCAGGTTTACATAGGACAGTCCTGGTTTATGGTGTTTGTCCCAATGTCCTGTCCTGTTAACATCCCCTTTCAAAAATGTCTTAGTAAGAATGCTAAATTATATGGTTGCCCTAGTTAAAGGCAGGGTGATCGTATATGCTGGTTTATGTGGGACAGTCCTGGCTTCTACTTTTATACTGGATTAGATGATAAGTTTTATATTCACTCTGGATTATCCAACTTCATCATTCTTTTTCCTTTAGTTTACAATATTAAAAACAAAGGTTGCCTTGTGAAATGCTTCCGTTTGGGAATAAAATTAACACATAAAACATCTAAGTATAAGCATGAAGAACAGAATCAAGGAATTGCTGGAAATTTAGTGAATTTAAAACACAGACTAATTGGAAATCCCTAAAACAGGCAATTTAATCAGATTTAACATTGGGAATCCAGTATTGCTCAGAGCCAACACTAGAATCCAAAAACTGAGTTTAAATCCAGCTGATATTTATTTACATTAAGCCCATGGCAAAGTATAAGTGGGCACTGATGATTTTTATAGTCTTTTACTCAATAATTCCATTTCCTCAATTGTTTATTCAGGTTATTTTATGACTTAGACATTTAGAGTTTCCATAAAATGCACAAAGTATTTTTTATTTTACTGCTTATATTTTGACTTATATGATTTATTTGCAATCACTAGAAGGAGTCAAACAGTTTAGTTACCATCAATTACAGTTACATTAGACTAATTCTTCTATTTCTTCCTACTTTGAGTTTCTGTTATTCTAAGAGCAATTTCTCTTGTAAGGATCTATAATAACTTCTGCACAAGAGATGCACACAAAAATAATTAGAAAGGCCTTGTGTTCTTAACATTGAAAGGGGTCTGGAGAGAAACGGTTCCTAGAAATCCATCACTAAACTTTGTATTTCAATTCCTTTGCAGCAATTAAAACATTCAAACCTTGTGAACCTCATTGAGGTGTTCAGGAGAAAAAGGAAAATGCATTTAGTTTTTGAATACTGTGATCATACACTTTTAAATGAGCTGGAAAGAAACCCAAATGGGTAAGTACTCTAGAAATTGAAGTTCTATATAGCCATGTTTCATTCTATGTGGAATTAATTAGGGCAATTTCAAATCCCAGCCACTATTACCCCTTCTACAAAATGCATCTGGCTGCCCCTCTCCACTCTCAGGATATGCTCAAAGGGCAATCAGATATCAACCTAGAGGAAATATAACTAGGAAGACGAATCTGTAAATATAAATCACAATGCATTTTGAGACAATGCATTTTCAGCAAGTGAACCATGGATCAATTATAAAATTTATTTATATAATTCACTAGTAAGTTAAAGGATAAAAAAAAACCATGTGATTTATAAAATTTGAAAATATGAGATGTTGACATATCCAACACCTTTTTTAAATATTTTTTTTTAGTTATAGATGGGCACAGTACCTTTATTTTATTTTTATGTGGTGCTAAGGATGGAACCCAGCCTCTCACACATGTGAGGCAAGCACTCTACCTCGGAGATACAGCCCTAGCCCCAACACTTTTCGATTATTAAAAAAATTAAAACCTTAGCAACTAGAATTAAAAATGCTTTTTTGCACACACACACAAAAAAAAAAAAAGAAAGAAAGAAAAGAAAACCGTCTTCAAACAAATCTTACATTCAATGGTAAAGCACCAAAGGAATATCCATTAAATTGAGAAACAAGACAAGGATGTTGGTTGTCATGACTATAATTTAACATTCTGAGAACTGTAGCCAGTGGGGTGCAATAAGAAAAATAAATATCACTTTTAGAAATGAGACAAGATTTTCACTATTTACATAATATTATTGTTACAAAATCTGAGAGTGTCACAGAAAGTTATTAAAACTAAGGGAATTCAATAAAGAATCCCTATCCCACGAGAGAGTCCACACTCAAAAATTAACAGTTTTCGTATTAAATACCACTTCAGAAAATCTGGTGGAGAAGTACAAAAAGCTTAGGAATAAAAAGATTTGCTTAAACTTTACATAAAGACAACTATAAAACTTAACTAAGGAGGGCTGGGGTTGTGGCTCAGCGGTAGAGCGCCCTGGGTTCAATCCTCAGCAGCACATAAAAATAAATACAAAAAATAATAGTATTGTGTCCATTTACAACTAAAAAAAAAAACTAAGGTACATAAAGGATTTTATTTAAATGAACATAGTTTCTAGATAAAAATATTCATTATTTTAAAAATATTGCCTCCCCAATTTATCTATTTACTAAATAAATTATAATCAGAATTCTAATGGGATTTTTTTGAAACTTAAAGAAGTTAGACCAAATCAAGAAATATTTTAAAAAGAAGAAAAAATAGAATATTAACAGTCTAATTAAATCACAATTGTTTTAGAGATTTCCTTTGACAAAAAAGCACCATAAGCAAAACTCAAAAAGAAATGCCATTGGTTAAACTGCCATAATTAACAAATTTCATATATGAAAAGATTAACGCCCAATTAGAAAAAAAATATTCATTCAAAAATGATTTAGTGAATACTGTGGACCTGTCAGATAGAGCTAGGAACAAACAAACCAAAAAAGTAGCCTAATCTTGTGGAGCTTTCATTCTAGTAGACATGGAAAAGAAAATATGTTTTAAAAGGAGGAGGGGATGACCATCACATCCCCACCTCAAAAAAAAAAAAAAGTTTACTCTCCTTATCAATCAAAGAAATTAAAATGTTTATGGTGAAGGATCATTTCTCACCTATTAAATTTGGCAAAGATTCTTCAAAAATCATTATACTCAGTATTATCTACAATTAGGAAGGGCTGGGGTTGTGGCTCAGCACTAGAGTGCTCACCTAGCACATGCGAGGCTCTGGGTTCAATCCTCAGCACCACATATAAATAAATAAAACAAAGGTATTGTGTCCAACTGCAACTAAAAAATAAATATTAAAAAAGAAATTAGGGAACCTGCTTTCTCATTCTCAGTTCAAGAGAGTTTATTTGGGAGAACAATTTGGAAGTGTGTTTGAAATTTTTTAAACTGTTTTTATCCTCCAATCAAGAAATTCCGTTTAGAGAAATACACAGTAAGTAAATATTCAGTAAGTAATATTGGGACAAATAATTATACATATGAATATTCAATATATCATTATGTATAATAAAAATTGGCCCTGAGTTTTCTAATAGAGAATTGATGGGGAGGGGCGCCCGTTGCTCAGTGGCAGAGCACTTGTGAGGCATATGTGAGGCACTGGGTTCCATCCTTAGCACCACATAAAAATAAACAAAATAAAGGCATTCTATCCATCTACAACTACAGAAAAAAAATTTTTTTGAAAGAACTGATTAGGAAAAAAGGCAATGGGGAGATTCCATGAAAACAGATGGAAGGTCAATGGAGCAGAGGAGGGGGATTGAAGAAGAGGGAGTGGGGGGACAGGAAAAAGGAGGAACAGTGGAATGAAATTGGCCAAATCATGCTATGTCCATATGTAAGTAGACCACAGTGAATTTCACCTTTATGTAATATCCATAGAGCACTAATTAAAGAAAACTATAAATAAATAAAAGGAAGACCACTAGAGTAGAGGGAGGGGAACAGGGAGGGAAGGAAGGGAAAGGGGAAGCTGAAGGCCGCAGTGGGGCAGATCATATTTCATGCATGTATGATTATGTCAAAATGAACCCTAATAGTGTGTAGAACTATAATGCACTAATGAAGACATGAAAAAAATTGGTCATAGATGGGGGTGGAACTCAGTGGCAGAATGCTTGCCTGACATGCATAAGGCCCTGAGTTCAACCTCCAACACTAAATAAAAGGAGTGGGGGGAATTAGTTACATGCATTTTGGTATATCCATACAATGGTACACTATTCATCTAGCCCGTGAGAAAGAATGCTGCATGCCAAGCATGGTGGCACATGCTTGTAATTTCAGGAGGATTACTGTAGAGGCTGAAGCAGGAAGATTATGGGTTTGAGGCCAGCCTTAACAACATTGAAAAACCTATCTCGGGGCTGGGGTTGTGGCTCAGAGGTAGAGCGCTTGCCTACCATGTGTGAGGCACCGGGTTCAATCCTCAGCACCACATAAAATAAAGATATTGTGTCCACGTTAAAAAAAAGAAAGAAAGAAAGACTATCTCAAAAAAAAAAAAAAAGGCAAAAAAGAATGATGTAGAAGAATAGTTGGTGTCCTGGGGAAATGTTCATGAGATGGTCTATGAAAAATGAGTTAATAGAGCAGAATGGTAAGTGTAATTGAAGTTAATTTTGAATTTTCTCAGTATTCTAGTAAATGCATGTATATTCTTTCAAATAAAATTATAAAACAGTTAAAAAGTGAATTAATTCACAGTTCACTTTTGTTGGAGCTGGTAACAAGCCTGGCACATTCAGGGAATAGCAGAAACTAACAGGCTTGGCTGGAATATTTGTGTGGATGTGGTAGGAAATGAAGTTGGGGAGGTTAATAAAAGTGAAATTATCAAAAGCCTGGTGGACCCCTAAAAACAAGATTGTCATTTATTCCAGGAGAATGGGGGTTCACTGAGAACCCGGTTCATCTGGGGTAATGATAATGAAATCAAGTTTAAAAATTATAACAAACTAAAACAAATGCAGAGAATTCTGAGGTGGGCATTAGATCTCTGCGGAGGGGCTAAGAGAGTTGTCTCTGGGCTGTGCAGGCTGAATTCCCAATGCCTTTACTTTGGTCTTGAACAGCGATGTCTCATTTTCACTTTAAGGCTTTCATTATTGCTTTTAGTATTGTTTTCACACTCACCCAAAACATAATATTTAAACATGGAATCCATTGATTTCTTCTGGAGGTTTTATTTCTCTCCAAAACACTTTGGAAAAGGCTGTGTGTGCTGAATGGTGTCACAGCGTGGTCTTCCTGGACTGAGCGCTGTGCAGCTCAACTCCTTTGATAACTGTCTTCTCTCTGCAAGATCAGTGTTCGTTGTGCATAGTTGTTACTTCATAGAGATGTTGCTTTGCCAGTCGTGAGGCCTACCTTCTTGGAATCTGAGCTCACTGACCACTGTGACACTTCCAGTGAGAAGCCTATAAACACCCCTGCCATAGCAACAGCGCAGGGCTTCCCTATCAAATTCATCCATGCTTGATTCCACATTATTGACACTAGAAATCCGGGTTATAACAGCTTCTGAATGTTAGGCCCTGCCTTATTCCCCAGGTTCCCTCCTCCTGTATTCTCTTAGATCCTACCCAGCGTCTTTTACACGGATAAGGCCGTGGGTTACCCTTGCCAGTCCCTCCCTAAAACTGAAATCCATTTGCCTTCCTCTCTACCACTGTCAGCCTAATGTAAGTCACCAGATCTCACCGGATTACTGAATTAGCCTCCTAATTAATCTCCCTGTATCCACTTTGCCCCTGGAAATCCATTCACCAACCTGGATTAGATTTTTGCTTGACTCCCCTCAGTGGCTTTGAATTTAAAGTAAAATACAGATTCCTTACCAAGCTCTAGATCTGTGAGGCCTGCAGGACTTGAGAAACCTGAGCACATTCTCACTCATGCTCCAGCCAAGTTGGCCTCCTTGCTTGCCCCAGGCTCCCTCTTCTGTCTTCGAGGCCTCTTCTGTCTTCCAGGCCTCTTCTGTCTTCCTGCAGGAGTCTCAGCCTCATTTATTGGCCTCATCTTTCAGATTCTCATCTTCTGGGCCCATGTGAGTGTTTAAGCCCAGATATTTAGAAGACAGACTTCTCAATTCACTTATGGAATGACATTTCCCTTTCATATGGGAAAACCCAGAAGCTGCAATAATTTACCTAAAGTTATAAAGTGAGGAGGCAGCACAGCTGGGATTTGAACTCTGGCAGCCTCTCCCAGGCTCAAAATGGCTATACTCTCCTTTCTACCTCCTATCAAAATATTTAAATAATGTTGCTTAAGGCTTGGCCATAGGTAAAGTGGGGAGAAGGATAAAGTTATATCAGAATTCATTGGAGGAAACAGCACTAGACATTTCAAGTGGAAAGGGGTTTAATACTGAGAATTCAGTGCTTTCAGAATAATAAATAGGAGAACTGGAGTCAAGGACATGCCACCATAATTGTGATCCAAGATAAGGAAATTGCTCTGAGAAAAACACCTTCCTACATTGGTTTCTCCAAATATACTTCAGCCTCATGTGAAGGCATCTTGTCATTAGTGCTGTAACTGAGGTACACACAGGCTGTCTCCTAACCCTATAAAACCAGCTACCTCTGCATAAATTCACAAGTGACCTAAATATATGATTTAACTATCCAAATATGGGGAAATATTAAGTCTGTGTGAGGGATATAATTGAAGTATTATATAATTATGAAGGTTTTTTTTTTTAATTTAGAAAAATCCTTACAGTAGACAGTTTTCTTTTGAAACCCTTGTGTTTCCGGTTTTTTGAAATATGCAAACAACAACCCCATCTGCATCAACAGGGTTGAAAAACAGACAATACACTGAGAAAAATATGTACTGCATATATAATAGACTGATCTACACTGGGTCTTTGTAAATGAATAAGAAAAGAGTAAACAGAGCAGTCCAAAAAGTGATAGAGGCCATGAAATGGAAATAAACAAAAGAAGAACTGTAGTATCCACTAATCATAGGAAATTTATTCATCACTAAAAATTAATGAAAGGCAAATAAAAACCAAAATGAAATATCATTTTATTTTAACCACAGATTGGCAAACATAACATTGGCAAAACTAAATGTTGGCAAGACAATGAGGCAATGGGGACTTATCTGCACAGATGTTTGGTGGGAGTTTAAATGGGTATAACCTTCCTTAGAGAGAGGGTAGCTTGGCAGTGTGTAAATGTGAAGGCATCATCACAGGACAGGGATGGTGAGTCATGGAAAGACACCAACAGAAAAGTTAAAGTGAATGCAATTGCTAGAATTTGTAGAGATGGTTACATGAAGTAGACAGGTTTCCCAGATCCTCAAGTCCCCCATGGAAATTACGCCTGCCCGTAATATCTTCCAGTGTTTTCTACACAGAGCAATGATCACTGCCAGCCTCCCATTCTCATGGGATCTTTCCTCTCCCTGGCCTCTCTTGCTGTAAACCACCCCACTTACCAGATGCTTGGCCATTGCACCACGAATCCAGCATGTGCTTGAGTGTGTATCACCAAATGAGCTGAGTGAATTCAAAGTCCCTCTTCCAAATTTACCTTTTTCTCTGCAAAGCCAGGTGTCAGGTCTGCCTGAAGTTCTTCTCTACATGTGCCTATGATTAGTTCCAGAAATGCCATATTTTGGAATTTACTTTAAGAAGATAATTGTACAACTGCAACAAGATGGATGATTACAGATGTTCATGGAAGTGCTTCTAGAAATAAAAATTGGCTCGACCTAACTGCTCATCAATGGGGAATAAGTACATTATAATACATAAAATGAGTCTTCCTCAGCCACTAAAATATATGCGCACATGTTAAGATTTGTACCTCATTTCTGAAAGAAGCCAGGCAGTGGGGTGGAATTGCAGAAGATAAATAGGTAATTAGGCAGGTGTCAGAAGACTTTGTGAATGTACTTTAAAATTTTTGAACCATTTGAATGTTTTTATTTAAAATTAAAAAGTAAATGCAGGCTGAACGTGGTGGTGCAAACCTGTAATCTGAGCAACTCAGGAGGCTGAGGCAGGAGGATCACAAGTTTAAGGTCAACCTCAGCAACTTAGCAAAGCCCTAAACAACTTAGCAAAAACCGATCTCAAGATAAAAAATAAAACAGACTGGGGATGTAGCTCAGTGGAAAGCACCCCTGGGTTCAATTCCCAGGACCAGGAAAAAAAAAAAAAGAGTAAATGCAGTGAGAGTCAGCCTCCGTAAGTTACAGCAACTATTTTCATGTAACAGATTAGAGTTATACATTTTCATGATAAGCATGTATCATTTGACAGATGTAAAAATTTCAAACTACAAAAGAAAATTATTTATTCCATTTCCACTCCCAGCCTTTGCTCTTGGAACCCCATGCCTGGCATTCTCATTTCCTTTTTAATTCTTTCCCCCAGAGTTGCTGATGGAGTGATCAAAAGTGTATTATGGCAAACACTTCAAGCTCTTAATTTCTGTCATAAACATAATGTAAGTAACATTTTCTAAAATATTTATTAATATCTTCTTGATGACTCTTTTCTTCTAAACAGCTCAGGGATCTATCCAAAGATCTAAAAATGGAGGGAAAGAACCAAAACAGCAAAACAAATGAAAGTTACAGATCTGAGGAAAAGGGATTCGTTATCCATGGCCCTTTTCCATTTCTCTAAGAATCATGTGACTAATTTCTCATGAATTAAAAGTTTGTATAAACTTCATGTTTCATTTTGTTGCAATACTAATGGTTCCCATGATTACTTTTAAATTGAGTTAAAATAATTTGTCAGGGTGTCAGCAATGTCACCCACCATGGCACTCAATTTTGTTTTTATTATTTCTCTTAAGTCTTTCATCAACACTTCCCCATCCCCTACCTTTTTTTTTTAATTTAATTTTCCATGCCATTAATTTTTTAGAACCACAGTTTTCAAACTTGAGCAGGTATCAGAATGACCTGGAAAGCTGCGGTAGGCCTGAGAATGTGCACTTGTAACATTTCCCCAGATGATACTGAAGCAGCAGGTACGAGAACCACACTTTGGATACTGCTGTGTTATAGAAATAATTTTGGCCATCTGTTTCCTACATACAATTTAATTTGTTCTTTCCCCCTGTATTTCCTATATGTGGGTATTTTTATCTAGAGCCTTGTCATATTTGGGCTCTGTATTTTTTAGACAAGAATATCACATTTGTGGTATGGTACACTTCTTTCTTTCTATTATTATTATTATTATTTTAGTTTTAGAAGGACACATTACCTTTATTTATTTATTTATTTTTATGTGGTGCTGAGGATCGATCCCAGTGCCTCACACATGCTAGGTAAGTGCTCTCCCACTGAGCCCCAGCCCCAGCCCGTGGTACACTTCTTATTGCATCATCATGAGGCATGTAGTGGCTGGTTGTCCAGCTTCTGACAATGTTGATACTGATCAGTGGGCTCCGGAGTTATGAGTTTGATCCATTCTTTTGGCATTTGCCCTGTCAGCCTTTTCACCTGATGGTTTAGCATCCAGTGATGATTGTTGCCTGCATCTAGTATTTCATTAATATTAAGAGATGTTAATTTTCCAATTCTGTTGTTCCTTCTGCATTATCATTGATTTATGAAAAATAACTTACCCTTACGTACTCTGGCTATTGTAAAATATAGCAATATGGATATGTGATGATTTCCTTTATGTGTCAATATTCAGAGTGATGAGTAAGTACCTCAGCAATCTCCAATGATGGACCATGACAGGCTTTCAGGGCAAGGTTGTGGGGCATCATTATAAACATGAATTTTTATATAGTTGATGTTTCCGATCCTTTGTAGTCATTGTTCTCTTAAATTCTCAAATTTTCCCATCTCAGGCCATTGGGCCCTTACTCAAATTGGATCCTGTGCTAGAATGATAGCTTATAGAAGATATCTCTAGACCTTTTGAGTAAATGCCTAGACAAAGAGAGTGCTAAGGCACCATATGGTCAGTTTTGATGCCAGCAGAATGTCTACCATGGTAGTCGAGGATTGCTGAAAAATAAAATACAAGATCATGGAATTAAATGTCAGTACTTAGGGAAGCTTTCTTTAGTTTTAAGAAAATCAGTGACGTTTTTATTAGAATCAACCAAAAGCCTCCTATTGGTGTAGAGAGATGCGTTCACAACATGCAGAAACCTGTTTTTCATGATGCAAATTGTGCTTTCAAATTTTTCATAAACATGTCACTGAATTGCCAGGCACAGTGGGCACAGCTGTAATCTCAGCAAGTCAGGAGGATCACAAGTTCAGAGTCAGTCTCAGCAATTTAGAGAGACCCTCAATAACATAGTGAGATCCTGTTGCAAAACAAAAATTTTAAAAGGGGCTGAGGATGTAGCTTAGTTGTAAAGCAATCCTGGGTTTAATCCTCAGTACAAATAAAATAAAATTCTGAATTGAATCCATATTTTTGTTGCTTTCTACTGTGCTATAGGAGATATCAAGTTCACCTAAGGTTGCAGCAGGAACTTTGTGGGTAGCTAAAATTTTTTTTAAAAAAATACTATTCACTATAAGTGGTTGTGCTATATCTCCCTATATAACTTGACACTTTCCTGTGACCTAGAGTAATGCAACATGTGAGGCTGATTTGTCTTTGTCTCTTTAGTGCTTAGCATTGATCTTTTATATAAAAGGTACTCAATGAATACTTTGTTGAATAAATGGATGGATGAATTAGTCGTTCAGTCAGTCTGATTGTCACTCACTATTGCCAGAGGACCCAAACATTATTATAGCTCAATGAGACTGCCATAGTTTCTCTGCTTGGAATAATACATTCTATATCTTAAGCTTTAAAATATTGAAAACTTCCCATTGATAATCCATGATCTCTTTTAAAAATGGATAGTTTTTGTCAAAACTTTCCTCCTCCAAGATGAAAATTACTTCTGAAATTATGGATTTTCTTATGCAATGGTAAGCCTTTGTATATCTATCTTTTCCTTTTTAACTATTAACTAAAATGCATGCAAAAGAAAAACTCTTGGGCTGGGGATGTGGCTCAAGCGGTAGCACGCTCGCCTGGCATGCGTGCGGCCCGGGTTCGATCCTCAGCACCACATACCAACAAAGATGTTGTGTCCGCCGATTACTAAAAAAATAAATATTTTTAAAAAAATTTTAAAAAAAAAGAAAAACTCTTACCAGGCATGGTGGCACACACCTGTAATCCCAGCAACTTGGGAGGCTGAGACAGGAGGATCTAGAGTTCAAAGCAGCCTCAGCAAAAAGCAAGGTGCTAAGCAACTCAGTGAAGACCCTTTCTCTAAATAAAATACAAAATAGGACTGGGGATGTATCTCAGTTGTCGAGTGTCCCTGAGTTCAATTCCTGGTACCCAAAAGAAAAGAGAAAGAAAAATTCTTAAGTCATATATAAGCTGTTACCATAATACACCTAAAACCTTTATAGTCTTTATTTTTAGAGGCACTCTAATGATGCTCTCAAAATTACAGAAAAGGCAATTTGACCCAGTAATATTGCTGAAGACATCCAGCTTTCACTCCCAAGGAGTGCACCTTATTATCTCCAGAGTCGTGATCCTTAGCAAGACAATGGAGGTTAAAGCAGTAAGGGAATTGAGGCCTTGCCACTTAATGGCTCATAGGGATCACTTGAGAGCTTGTCAGAAATGCAGAATTTCAGGCCCACTCCAATCTGCTGACTCAGAATATGCATTTTAACAAGAGCTCCAGATGATTGGTGTGCATATTAAATTTTGAGAAGTGCTGGATTTGAGAAAATACATACTTTGTTCTGTTTTACTTTCTAATACTGCCAGTGTGAGATAGCTGAAGTGATCCATTTAACTTCATTGTGAATCCATAGATCTATATCTGATTCACTGGTTAGAGAAGAAGAACTTTATTTCATGATAGCAAAACCACAGTGATATCTGAGACATGGAGGCGCCCAACTGCAGCATCCATCAGCATCTTGCTTTTACCCATGGTGGGTCAGCAAGGAGGCATCTGTTTTCTCTCTCATGGCTAATAACCATCCACCCCCACAGCCTGGTCATAGAGAACCACCTTCTCAGTTTATAGAAAATTATTTATTGCTCAATCTGGCATATAAGAAGTAGTTACTGGAATGGATGCTTCCAGAAATTATTCTTTGAGTTGAATGTCAGGTTTAAAATAACATGATACTCCTCTTTTTTGCCAGATTGTGAACCAACAATAACTCAACCTGAGCATATAAAGGGCTGGGGATATAGCTCAGTTGGTAGAGTGCTTGCCTCACATGCACAAGGCTGTGGGTTCAATCCTCAGCAACACACACACATAAGATGCCTATGAAACCCAAGTTTATTAAAATTCTTCTGTTAAAGAAACTTGCATGTTTCTTCTTGTTTGGTGGAAAATAAGCTGATTGCAAGAGGCACTGCACAAAAGCTGGCTGAAGAGAGCTTGTACAGAGTGTGGCTTTGCAATAGAGAAGACGAAAACTGTGTGTCTGAGTGTTTCTGTCCTCCATGCTCTGATTCTTACTGTTTCAGATTCTTATTGTTTCAAACATTTTTATTTTTTCTCTTTCTTCAATATTCTATCTTTTTATCAGTAGTTTCTCTTACCTATGGCTATATAAATAAATGTTTCTGTTTCTTTGGGACACACTAATATTTTGTTTGCCTTTTATTTTTTTTGATTGAAAAATACTTGCTATAAATTTCAACATGGTCTGCATTAGATCCAAAAACTATGTAAATAGGCCAACAAACAAATATCAATATAAGTTACATTTACTTTGTAATGTCACACATACTCTAGAAACTCCAGAATTCTATATAAAGTCATTTGAGGGATACACCTGTTCTATAAATCACCAACTATTTTAAGTATTGCTGACTCAGAAAGTTAGTCTATGCCTGTAATCCCAGCAACTCAGGGGCTCAGGCAGGAGGATCACAAGAGGCTAGCCTCAGCAATTTATTGAGACCTTGCCTCAAAATAAAATTTAAAAAGGCTGGGGATGTAGTTTAGAGGTAGAGCAACACTGGGTTCAATCCCCAATACTGCCAAAAAAAGAAAAAGAAAAAAAAGTGGCATATCAAAAATATTTTATTTTATTGTCCAATAATGTATTTTTTTAAGATTAATACCTAAGGTCCTAGGAGATCAAAAATGTTTCTTCTAACTTCTAGAAGTACACATTATGAAACAGTGTCAGTAATTAAGATTACAAAGGAACAAGTTTCTTTTACAACTGCCATTTTTTAAAATATTTTTTTTTAGTTGTAGATGGACACAATGCCTTTATTTTATTTATTTACTTATTTTTTATGTGGTGCTGAGAATTGAATCCAGTGCCTCACATGCAAGGCAGGTGCTCTACCATTGAGCCACAACCTCAGGTCCACCACTGCCATTTTTGTGACCTAAGATGAATTTAAGCTTTAGCTTTTTCTCTTTCTAGGTAGTGGTTATTGAAGCAAAATGATTTCAGAATTGTCAATTTGACACAAATACCTAAAGAGACTGGCAGCATGGCAGAGAAGTGAGGCAGACACAGTTGATTGTGGCACTTATTCAGTGGACTGTCAGTGGCTACCAACAATCACAGGACTATTGCAAGGATGAAATAATTCATGGGGAAGTGCTTTGAAAAGTACAGATCTCTGGATGGGGGCCAAGTGGTAGAAGAGTGGTATCATTTTTACCTCTTTTATTTGGGGGAAATAAATGATCTGAAAAGATAGAAGTTCTGAAGAGTAGGGCCACAGTTGTTTCTGTTTTGCTTTGCTTTGTTTTTTGGATCTGGAGATTGAACCCAGGGATGCTTAACCACCAAGCCATATCCCCAACCCCTTCCTAAAATATTTTATTTAGAGACAGGTTCTAAGTTACTTAGGGCCTTGCTAAATTGCTGAGGCTGACCTCGAATTTGAGATCCTCCTGCCTCAGGCTCCCAAGTCACTGGGATTATAGGCATGTGCCACAGTACCTCTGCAATGTGGAAGACCTCTCCTGGGTTTATGATGTGTGCACTCGCTTGCCCTCCTCCAAGTCCCCAGCTTAGCTTTCTCATGTTCAGCAGGAAGGGTCAGGGTGATCTACAGCAAATTTGTAAGGTCGCTACATATTTAAAAAGAACAGCAGAGCTTCTCCAAGGTGAGAATGCCTCACAAGAGGGGTCCTGCCCTCCTGGGAGGGACTCCCCTGGCACTGTGCCAACATCTCAGGAGGGCTGCCCCATCATTCCCAGTCAGCTCATTGCAGAGGAAATTGGGATCTCTGATCTAAGTAGGCGACTGTACATCACAGTTCACCCAGGGCAGTTCTGGTCTGCGCCTGTCCTCCTGGCATGGTTATTTACAGAGCTCCCTTTACACTTGCAAGTATCCTGATTTGGATAAAAAACAATACTCTCACTCAAATTTTAAAAAGTGAACTTTTTAAAAAATAATTTAAATGCCTTTCCATTTTCTCAAATCCACAATAATTATTCAACCTCTTTTGTTGTTCTCAAGAGGCCACAGGTCTTACTACAGGTCCATGGAATCTAGTTTCAGTTAGGGTCTTACCTAGTGCAATTTTAATAGACGCAATAAAAAGTGAAAGAAATAATTGTATAGTATTCACTTCTTCCCCCCAAAAAACAGATACAGTTTTCATATACAACTGTAATTTAAATTTCTTCAGTAATGTAGCAACATTTGGATATTCTTTTTCTTTTATATGATAAGATTTTAAGTAAAAGCTGTCAATTTAAGTTCTTTTAGAAAAATGAAGGGAATCTTTGTTTTTATATCACAGGCTACTTGTTCATCAATATACTAGTAGTTAAGATTTATTCTTGATCATTATTATGGCTCAGAAAAATAATCAACTATTGTCTTCCAGTGTATTCACCGAGATGTAAAACCTGAAAACATTCTCATAACCAAGCAAGGAATAATCAAGATCTGTGACTTTGGGTTTGCACGAATTCTGAGTAAGTAGCGATTTTTTTTTAACCTACTTTATCCAATTCAGATGATTATAAACTGATAGAATTTAAATTCTTGCTTGAGATATTGGACGGATGCTAAGTGTTGTGTTGTTTTTCTGAAAAGAAAAATCTCACTTTAGCCTTTTAGTCAGTACATTATTTGGCATTTCAACTCTACTCCATTCAGCTAGAATTTATTGGATGACTTTTTCACGTACTTTGCCCCACAGGAGTAGAAAAAAATTATAAGTGCATTTCTGCTCTTCATGTTCTTATGATCTAAAGTAAAAGAAACAACAGAATAATACAAGATGGCTGGCAATAAAGAACTAAAATGAAGGTGCAGACAGTTCCCTGGAGGGAGATGTTAATGTGGGCTAAAGTGGTTGGAAAAAAACTTCTTGTAGCTGGTGAGAGACTGGAAGTGTCAACTGCGAATTAAAGGGAGAGGATGCAGAGACAGTGCTAAGAAAAAAGAAATCATCCCAGGCAGGCAGGAAGTGAAGGGAAAGGGGACAAATAATTAATTCTCCCCAAATCTGGAACTTTGCGCACACACACACACAGTGTTAGCAACTTATACCTTGCAGTATGGGTATGTGCATAATCAGAATCCTGATAGGACACAGATACAGGTGACCTGACAATGCATTTGGAAGGGTTGGGCAAAAACTGTTAAAAAGACTTTCTGAGGTTGCTGTGCTTTGTGGTAAAAAATAATGGGACCCTAATGATAACTGGATAATTGATCCCTGTGCCATGTGGTTAAAAGGACAAACACTGGGAAATGGAGCTATGATCTCTGCACATAGTATATAGTACATCCAAATCATGAAATACTCGGCAGTCATTAGATGTGATGTTTTCAGAGTAAATGAAAAAGAAAAGCTAACTGATGTGTGCAGTATGATTTCAACTGCACAGAAAATAATTACAGGAATACATATGATCCACAATTCAGGAAATTATGTGAATGAGTCTTCTGATATATTTCCCATAAATGCAATGTTCGGTTTGTTTGTTTCCCTGGAAATCCATTCTTTACTACAAAAATATCCAATTTGGTCACAAAAATATATATGCCATTACAAACATTAAAAATATAAAAGAGCCAGGTGCAGTGGCACATGCCTGCAATCCCAGTGGCTTGGGAGGCTGAGGTAGGAGGATCAAGAGTTCAAAGCCTGCCTCAGCAAAAGCGAGGTGCTAAGCAACTCAGTGAGACCCTGTCTCTAAATGAAATACAAAAAAAATAGGGCTGGGGCTGGGGCTCAGTGGTTGAGGGCCCCTAAGTTCAATCCTTAGTACCAAAAACAAACAAACAAAAACCATAAAAGAAATATTTCATATTAAAGTTACCTTATAAATGGTTCTTTGGGGGATTTTTCTCTCCCTAAATGGGCAGTTTTGCTGAAAATATGTACATATTTGATTTTTTTCATGAACCTGTATTCTTGCCTTTTTCTAAGTCTTCCTGTAGCAAACATCCATCTCTGAATAAAGAATCAGAAAGGTGAAGAAGGGTGTCCATAATATTATGTGCTAAAATACTAATACTTGACTAAATAGACTAAACTACATAAAAATTTAAGCTCTTGCCAGACTTGATGGTGCACGCCTATAATCCCAAGGATTTGGAAGGCTGAGGCAAGAGGATCATAAGTTCAAGGCCAACTTCACAACTTTAGTGAGATTCTGTCTCAAAATAAAATGGACTAGGGTTGTAACTCAGTGGTAAAGCATCCCTGGGTTCAATCCCCAAGTACCTAAAAAAAAAATTTTTTAAGCTCTTACTGGATATATTCACATGCAAAAGAATGAGGTTGGCCCTTTACCTTAAACCGTATACAAAAATTAACTCAAAATGAATCACTATCCTGTATATAAAAGCTTAAACTATAAAACTCTTAGAAGAAAACAGGGGAAAGGCTTCATGAACTCAGATTTATCTGACAGGGATTTCTTGGATGTGATACCAAAAGTATAGAAGCAAAAAAATAGATTAGTTGGACTTCATCAAAATCAAAAACTTTTGTGCCTCAAAGGATGCTATAAACAGTGAAAATGCAACCCATGTAAAGGGAGAAAATATTTGTAAATTTATATATGACAATTCATATCTAGAATATGAATATGTAGAATTCCTGTAACTCAACAACAAAAAACTTATTTTAGAATGGGCAGAAGACTTGAATAGATATTTCTTCAAAGAAGATATACAAATGACTAATAAGCACTACCATTAATCATCAGGGAAATGTAACTAAAAAACACAATGAGGTACTATTTTACATTCTTTAGGGTGACTGTTATAAAACAACACACACACACACACACACACACACACAAGAGTAAGTGTGGGTGAGGATTACCATATGATCCAACAATTCCACTTAGTAATGTAGCCAAAAGTATTGAAAATAGGAATTTGAAGAGATGCTTGTACACCAATGTTCACAGCAGCATTATTTACAGTAGTGAAAAGGTGAAGACAATCCAAATGTCCCTCAAAGATGAGTGGATCAACAGAAGGTGACATACACAAATAATGGAATGTTATTCAGCCCTGAATGAAATTCTGATATGAGCTACCATGTGGATACATGTTGAAAACATTACGCTATATGAAGTAAGCTGGATGCAAAAGGACATGCGCTGTCTGAGTCTCCTCATGTGGGGTACCAACAATAGTCAAATTGATGGAGACAGAAAAAAGAATAGTGGTTATCAGGGACTGGGAAGAGGTAAATGGGGAATTATTGTTTAGGTACAGGTTTCAGATTGTGCTGATGCACGAGTTCTGGATATGGATAGCAGTGATGGTTACACAATGAACTGGAAATGTACTTAATGCCACCAATCTCACTTAAAAATGGTTGAAATGGTGAATTTTATGTACATTTTACCACAAAACAAATATAAACTCCAGATAGATAAATAATAGAATATAGGTATACAGAGATAAAATTTTTAACTCAAGAGAAAGAATATTTCAATATTATAGTTAAAGTTGATATAAAAAGCTTATGTTAGCTGGGATATATCTCAGTTGGTACAGTGCTTGCCTAGCATGCACAAGACCCTGGGTTCAATCCCCAGCACCACACACACACACACACACACACACACAAATATATATATATATATATATATAAATTGACAAAAAAAATAAACCACTGAATTAATTTTTTTAAATTTATCTTTGGTACTAAGGATTGAACTCAGGGGCACTCAATCACTGAGCCACATCCCTAGCCCTATTTTTTTTTTTTTTTTTGAAACAGGGTCTCACTGAGTTGCTTAGCACCTCACTGTTGCTGAAGCTGGCTTTGAACTCAAAATCCTCAGCCTCCCAAGCCACTGAGATTACAGGCGTGTGCCACCATACCTGGCAAACCACTGAAGTTCTGAGAAGAAAAATTAATAAGATATTAGTAGACAATTCACAAGAGGAGGAAAAAGTTAATAAATATGAATAATCTTCCTCCACACTGATGTCAAAGGAATGCATATTAAAATACTACTCTTCACCAATGAAGCTGATAAAATTTTGTAAACATTAACTATTAAGATTGTTGCTAGTGGGAACAGTTTGGAACAAATCCTTGGAAGAGCAATGTGTTAATATCAAAAGTTTTGACTCTGAACCTTTAATTCCACTTTTAGGAATCTCTCACAGCGCAGGATACTACCTACCCAAAGTACATCATGATGTTCATTGTAGGACTAGGTATTACCGAGAAAAAATTAAAAGGCAACTGACTATTCAGATATAAGGAAAAGACTAAAGAATGTATCTGACTTAACACCACATATTAATATTTATTTTTGAAGAATTTTAATGACACAGAATATGCTTTGGCTTGTGATGTGGAGCCAGGTGAAGAAGAATACAAAACTACTTACATGCTCTCCCAATTGCATGTGTATGTTTAGGTATGCAAAATCAAGACAAGACTGAAGGAAAGGAAATGTACCAAAATATAATATGGTTTCTCTGGGTGGTAGGGGATTTTTATTTGTTTGTTTATTTACATTTCTCAAGTGTTCTACAAAGAATAGGAAGTATAAATTATGTTAATATTTTTCAAGATGGTAATTCTTGGGCTGGGGATGTGGCTCAAGCATTAGCGTGCTCGCCTGGCATGTGTGGGGCCCGGGTTCAATCCTCAACACCACATACAAAGATGTTGTGTCCGCCAAAAACTAAAAAAATAAATATAAAAAAAAGATGGTAATTCTTTAAACTAATTTTTAAAATAATCCTAAACTGGGCATGGTATCGCATGCCTGTAATCCCATTGATGTGGAAGGTTTAAGCAGGAGGGTTATAAATTCAAGGCCAAGGCTTAGGCAGGAGGATTGCAATTTAGCAAGGCCCTAAGCAACTCAGGGAGACCTGGTGTTAACTTAAGATATAAAAAGGGTTGGGTATGTGGCTCAATAGTTAAGCACCCCTGTGTTCAATTCCTAGTACCAAAAAAAAAAAAAGAAAGAAAAAGAAATAATCCTAAATACCGAAAAAGCTTGGGTTAGAGATTTTCAATCTGTGATTATTTATAATGGTAAAATATCAGAAAATTTGGGAAAGATGAAGTAAATCATGACATATGCACTTGGTAAACTATCAGGCAGCCATTGAACTCAAGTTCATAAAGTTTATCACAGCATAGTAAACATGTGGAATGGAGTGAAAAGCAGGACACAAAATTATATATATATATGTAGATATACACATACACACATATATTGATATATATATCACAAAAAATAAGATGCATCAAAAGATTAACACAAGGTATCTTTGTATGATAAAACTTAATTTATTTTATTTTTCTTCTTTTTGTTTATCATATTTTTCATATTCTTATATGACTTTTATAAGAGAAAGATGTTTAAAAAATGTACAACACCTAACTTAACCTGTGAAAATAAGAATTTTCAGTGGTTGTTATTTTCTTTATTTTTCATTTCCAAATGTCCTAAATAGTATTTATTAATTCTTATCATTCAGAAATTTGTATAATTTTATGAAAGAGCAATAGGTGAGTGCTGTGAGGGCTGTTCTTCAGTGACACCTGCAGCTGTCTTTTGTGGCAGTCTTGCTGGCCTTGAGGCCTCTTCTAAGAGAATTGCACATGACCTCATCTCTGCAAGCTGGTCATCTTGCCAGTTTTTCCCTTTATGCATTTGTAGAGTTCATATATGAACTGATATGTGACTCTTGCCAGTTAAAAGCAAAAAAAAAGTTATTAAAAAGTTATTTTACCAAATTCTCTTCAACCTCAAAGGATAAAACTGGGGCTCCTGGACCTTTAGGGTATTATAGCAATTATGGAATTGGCTTTTACCCACTTGGGAGGCAAGTGCCTTGGCCCTAGGCAGTCCACACCTGGGGCAGTGGGACAGAACTGGCCAGTGAGATCTCACCTATCTCTCTCCTCTGCCTGTCATATACTATGTGTGTCTCAGTTCAAGGAGTCAAATTGAAGTGTTTGTCACAAATTTGGATAAATATTAGTTTAATCCAGTTGTCCATTACTGCATTAGTTACTTGTGGCCTCCATAAATAATCATAACCTGTGTGCTTAAAACAGAAATTTATTTTTTCAAAGTCCTGGAGGCCCAAAGTTCAAAATCAAGTTGCCAGCAGGGCTCTGCTTTGAAGGCCCCTGCTTCTAAAGACTGCATTCTGGGTCTTACAGCTACATTACTCTAGTATCTGCCTCTGACTCATCAGGGGCTCTCCCTGTAAGTCTGTGTGTTCTGATATGACCTCATTGTAACTTGATGACCTCTGCATAGACCCTATTTCCAAATATAGTCACATTCATGGCTACACATTTGGGACTTCAAATCTCTTTTGAGGGGACACAATTTTTTCAACAAGCAAAATGCTGATGATAATGTGTAAGCAAATAATTGTTGGTTTAGACTTGAAGTTACACCCTCCTCACCACCCGCCCTAGCCTCTTCAGCTATGATGTGGATATTGATCAGCAAAACTTCTCTTGAAAGTTGAATTGCCCGCCTCAGCGCACAGTGCGACTGTGACTCAGTGCCTCGATTCATTGACCATTAGCAAGATCAGGGCCTCTGATTTATAAAACCTACTTCAATATAAGACCTGCTCCAGGGAGGAGTTCACAGGTTCACATCTTTGGAGAATATGACTCACATGATCTGCTTGATGCCCTTGCAGTTCCAGGAGACATCTACACTGATTATGTTGCCACACGGTGGTACAGGGCTCCTGAGCTTCTCGTGGGAGACACCCAATACGATTCTTCCGTCGATGTGTGGGCTGTTGGTTGCGTTTTTGCAGAGCTCCTGACTGGCCAGCCACTCTGGCCTGGAAAATCAGATGTGGACCAGCTTTATCTGATAATCAGAACACTGGGTATGAATTGTACTTTATGACTCACGGTGTCCCTAAAGTGTTATAGTATTATTATGTTAGTGTAATGATAAGAGTTTTATTGTTTCTCCAAAGTGCTACTTAGGATGATGGTTATGGGTTCTGAGTTGTGGCCGAAGCCCAGTCGTTTTCTCAGTACATAGAGCCGTAGCTCCTCTCAGTGAGTTTTCAGATACTTTTCCAAGAAAAAACAACTAGCCATGGAATAAACTATACATTTACTATCCATCGTGGGATAAGGTAGGGATAAGTATATAGTCTGCTGAGCTTAATTAAGAGATACTGAATCAAATGCTATTCTGTTCCCAGAAGAAAGGTTTTCCCCATTTATGCAAGAGCAGAGGTCAGCAATTTTTTTTTTTCTATCAGAGACCAGTGATAAGAATTTGGGGTTTTGTAGGCAATACAGTCTCTGTTGCAACTCTTCAACTCTGCTCTGGTAGTGCAAAAGCAGCCATATCCAGCCTATCCCTGCCTTTTCCATGGTTTTAACATGGCACAAAATACTATTCTTTTTATTTATTTTTAATCCATTTAAAAATTACAAACCATTCTTAGATCTCAAGCACTGGTCCAGATTTGGCCTAAGGGCCTTAATTTGTAGACCCCTGCTCTAGAGCTTAAGAGTTTTTTATTTTCTGTTTGAAGCGACTGCCAGTTTAAAACAATATTAACATATCTCATTTATATGTATAGTACTCAAGAATTTACAAATTACTTTCATACATGTTATTTCTTGCTGAAACTTGTTGTGGAAATAAAATCATTTTTAATTGTGCCCATTTTGTTTTGTAAATGAGAAAAGTAAGGCTCAGGGAGCCTCCATGATTGGCCTAAAGTCATATATCCAGTATAGAATAGGAATAGGACTGATGGGGGTTTTTTTTCACAAGTTTTCAGAATGTGTTAGCATGCTCAGGAGTTTTCATCTACCTCTTCCTGGTTGGAAGAGAATATAACCCCAACATTAGCTGCAGCCTTGTTCCAGAAGCCTGGATACAAAGAAAGTCATACCTTTGCACCCAAATGACTATGTATTGTTTACTTTTCCTAGGCTCTCCTGGTAGCATGGCTGCTGGATATTTCCCTGTTTGTTCCAATACATTCTCCTAGAGAATTCAGCCTGAAAATTTGGGGCAGAGTATGACCACAGACCATACCTTAAGTGTATATTGTTTGATTGTTTTATATATTCATTAGGTTGATATAAGACTGACCTGAGTTTGAATCCTGGGTCTGTCATTTACTTTACCATGTGACCTTGGACAAGTAATTAGACCTCTCTGAGCCTCATTTTCCTCATTGATACAGTGAAGATTAAAAATAGCAATATTGCTGTGATTGAATGAGATAGTATGTGAAGCCCTTAACGCCATCGCCTCACCTGGTCTTTTGATAGAGGCTATATGGCAGGCCAAACCACATGCAGCAAAGAGCTTTATATGGGAGAATTAGCCTTAAGTACACAGATGTGCTTTTGCAGGGGACCATTCCTCCCATATCTAGAGAAAATAAGCCGGCACCATATTTCCTTCATACCTGGACCTTGAAAGCTAATCATTATTTACATGCTTTATGTTTTGTTTGTTTTTTTTTTTTTTGACCAAAATTTTCAAGAGCTACATGGTTTGTGTTTTATAGGAAAACTAATTCCAAGACATCAGTCCATCTTTAAAAGTAACCAGTTTTTCCATGGCATCAGTATACCTGAACCTGAAGACATGGTAAACTGCTCTATTTTGGATATTTTATTTTTTGTGTTGCTACTTTCTGTAAAAAGGTAGTTATTTCTTTTTTAATATTTGTGCTTTGGGCTTCTATTTTCTATACTAAATATGAACACAGATCAATGTTAAATTTAAGTTGAAATATATTTAGTGTCTTACATAATGCCTTGATCGTTTTAGTCAAAGCACTGATGTTAATTTTCCCCAAAATAATTATTTCTTCATAAACAGTACTTAGTCTTCCTTATTTTGAAGATATGCATGCTCAATTTTTTCAGCTTATGAAACAAAGTTCAAATCAATTTAAAAAAAAAAACTTTTTGGGGAGTTAGCTCACTTGCAGAATATTTACCTAGCATATGCAAGGAAGGCCCTGGATTTAGTCCTGGCCCTAAAAAAAAAAAAAAAAAAAAAACTTTTTATACTCATTAAATTCCAAATTATCCACCATCTCTGTGTTCTTGCTATGGTCTCTGCCTTTATCTGGGAATGTATCAATAACCATTTGACTCTCTTGCCCTCTGTAGACATTGATTTCCTGTCTGTGTTACCCAAGTTCAGACTATGACCTTTAAAACTCCATATGGTCTAGAATCTGCCTAGGGAAGGAAAGGAATGTCAAGAGAGGCACGCATCCACACTCAAGCTGTGTTGGAATCAGAGCAGCATAGGGATGGGAAAATGTCTGAGAAAGTCTGAGAAGCCATATCATGATTTATGGCATGTGTGAGCAACCTGAGGTTCAAATAGTCCCAACTATCTCTAGACACCCTGTTCATTTAAAATCAATTAGTTGGTATAATACCTTGATTTGCATACTGAATTTTTCACTTTATTTCTTAAAATCTTCAACAAATATAATACAGGGTTATGGGTTGAATTATAATATTAAAGATTATCAAAGAATATTTATAAAACATGTGTTTAAAAAATAAGATACAACAAACTCACATGAGTCTACAGCCAAGTTAAAGACATAGAATATTACTATTGTCTTTGGAGCTTCCCCATCTCCTTTCTTTACTACTCTGAACCTTGTGTTTATCTCTTTGTTGATTTCTATAATCTTATACATGTAGTTCAACATATTCTCATGAATGCTCAAAACATCCTTATAAGTAGATCAGGCACAGATACTAGAGCACCATGGTAGGATTTCAGAAGCAGATATTTTTTAGCTTCAGATTTGAAGCTTTCCCATCCCCTTCTCTCCAAAATAACCAACACCAGTTACAAGACAGTCAGTGCAACTTTCTTGAAATTAAGACAATAACTCCAGTTTAATGACTTTCAGAATTTTACATCAGTATAAAATATGTAAAAACATGATTTTTAAAAAACTATATAAGGAATTATCTAACATATTAAGGGAAGTGTACTTAATGTCACTTGTAATATTTAACATATATGAGAAATATATGTTACTTTGTTGTTATATAACATTGAAATTCTTTATTTTGTTTTCCAGGAAACTCTTGAGGAAAAGTTCTCAGATGCTTATCCTGTGGCTTTGAATTTCATGAAGGTACTTAGAATTAATTATAAGTGGGCTAGGGGTATAGCTCAGTGGTAACAGGTATACCTAGCATACTTATAGCCCTGGGTTTAATCCCCAGCACCAAAAATTTAATTAATTATAACTGTTATTGACTGCAAATTGTAATGACTAAAGCCAATAATTCTGGGAGGAATGGACAAATAATTCCAAAGTGAAATATAGTCATTAAAAATGATAAGGAGGGCTGGGATTGTGGCTCAGTGGTAGAGCGCTTGACTAGCACAGGCGGGACCTGGGTTCAATTCTCAGGACCACATAAAAATAAAGGCATTGTGTTGTGTCCACCTACAAAAAAAAAAAAAAAGATATTCTCTCTCTCTCTCTCTCAAAAAAAAAAAAAAAGATAAGGAACATCATTATCATGGGGTAGCTCAGTTGTAATGCCCTTACCTAGCAAGTGTGAAGCCCTGGATTCTATCCCTAGCACTACCACCAAAAAAAAAAAAAAGATAAGAACTATAAAATAATTTTAGCTAAAGGGACATCAGTGGCTTAAGCAGTAACAGTTCTAACATATCCACCAAAATTAGTAGCTAAGACCAGGCAGAAGAGAACCATGCAGACCTATCCCATAGAGGAGACCTACCCCATAGAGCAGACCTATCCCATACAGTAGACCCAAGAGAGATTGTCAAACAAAGAACAAATTTTGATCCAAAGCTGAAGAAACTTATCAATGACATGTCTGCCATTTGTGTTTAGCCAATGGAGGCCACACTAGCAGGTGCTAGTGACCCATCCATCATGGATGCTGAAAGTACTCTGAGGGATGGGCATGAAGATCCAGAAGTGATATCTGTCCTTAACAATCAGTTAAGTTCTGTCTGTAGCAGCACTTTCTAAATGTGGCTGTTCAGCAGAATGATCTGGGACGTTTGTAAAATACAGTTTATGTATCTAGCCTTAAGTTCACAAGGAGAATCTCCATGAGTAGGACCTTGAAATTTGTTCTCTTTAAACATTCTCTTAGATGGCATGATATACAACTCAGTTTGCAATTCATCTGGTCTAGCCAGTGGGCCTTTTAGATGACCCAGAGTCAACTTTATAGATTAGTATTTGTGCTAGGTGCTTGTGTCTGCTGTGGTGCTATCCAGGGTGCTGGACTTCTTCAGTCTGAGTCCTCCTGAGGCTCAGAGCCTGACGCCTCAAAGCTGACACTGCTCTTACCAGTGCTCTTAACCACTGCTGTACGTGACTTCAGCTGCCAGCTGACCTGCCTCCACCCCACACTCTGCAGGTCCTGTTCTTAGAAGCCCAATTCCCTGCCCTTGTTCTGGTGAGTGTTCTGACCCACCAGCAATTTAGCAAAACCTCCAAGCAGTCAGACACTGAAAGCCCAACCCATGCTCAGGTGTAGGCCAGAGTCTGCCTGTAGTTGTTCCTCAAGTTAACCTGAAAACTCCACAGAGCACGACTCTAGGGAACAGAAACATTAAGGTATAGGACAAGCTCCTGATCTTCATCTCCAAAGAGGAAGCACCCTGATGGCTTGCCTAAGAATTAGATGAAGCTGGGTTTGTTACTCAACTCTTTGATTTAGACCCATTAAGTATTGATTAGGGATCCAAGAATTCTCTATGTGGTCAAGACTTGTGCTATTCCATGATCACACCCTATCTCCTAGACTCCTAGACTATCTCCTAGACTCCTATGTTAGATAAAATAAAATTATCTTAGATTAATGATAATTAAGAATTCTTTGACAACAAATAACTACTATTTGCAATAACAGGTAGTTTTCCCAGATACAAGATCATAACCTATGCAGGAAGGTGCTCAAGTTGGTGAAGTGTTGGCCAATGACAGTACCAAGGATAGTGGTGACATGTAGAAGCCAATCTGTGGCAGGTCTTTTGTGTTCTCTTCATTGAGTTTAAAATGAGTCTATGGCCATAATCTTTATTATTGATTACTCGTTTGTCTCCATAGTCCTGACCATCCTACCACTGTTTCCGTTTGTATGATCATCAGGAACACTGTAAATGACTAGAGATTTTGTTAGAGAACTTTCTGCCAAATTTGAAAATCATTTTTGTTTTCTTCTGTTTGTTGTTGTTGTTGTTTTTGTTTGTTTTGTTTTTTAAGAAAAGGATCCTGACTTGGACTTACAGTTCCAATTTCTCATATCTCATCTTTAGGACCTCTTCCAGATTGGAAGCACATCTATCAGGGTATACCTCTGAAAACTCACCATCTTCTTGATGTACAGAAAGTTATTAATCCAGGCAGGCAAGGACTCAGCAGCCCTAGCTCCCACCCAATCAAAATCAGTGCTTCCAAAATTAATCAGCAGGACATTGTTCCAGTCCAAGCTTCTTCTTAGAATCAGAAAATGCACTTTGAAATAAACACTCGAAGGTATTTATTGAGGAAAAAACTAGATTTCAGTAGATCAAAAGCCTATATAAGAATGTGAATGAGTGCTGGGGATATAGCTCAGTTGGTAGAGCATGCACATGGCCCTGGGTTCAATCCTCAGCACCACAAAAAAAAAAAGAAAGAAAAATATGTGAATAAATTAAAGATATATTTGAAAGGAAAGCTGGTAGGACTTAATTATGACTTATACATGGGGAGTAAGAAGAGAGTGGCAAGGATGAGGTGCCTGACTCTGTTTCCCAGCTGTTGGCAGATCTACACTTCCTTTCAAGTCTCTTGGCAAGGATCCTTCTTGGCCTCTTGCAGCTTCTGGGAGACTTGGGCATTCCTTGGCTTGTGATGTTATAACTGCAATCTCCACCTCTATTATTGCACAGATGTGAATTCTCTATGTGTCTGTCTCTGTGCTGTCTTTCATTTTCTTATAAGGATACCAATAATAACTGAATTGGGGGGTCTACTTACTAATTATGACCTCATCTGAACTAATTACATCTGCAAAGACCTCATTTCCAAGCAAGGTCACATTGTGTGGTACTGCAAGTTAGGAATTCAACATGTATTTTGTGGGGAACACAATTCAACCAGTAACAGTGCTCTCAAGACTAAGAAGTATTATTAAGTAGACAGTTACATATGTGGTTCTGGAGTTCAGAGGACAGGTCTGGAATAGAATTATAGATGTGGAAAACTCTGATAAACTTTGATAACTGAAATCATGGGCATTAATGATATCAGTAGAAACTAAGAATAGATGAGAAGTGGGGAAGCTAGGACTGAGTCTGGAAGAATTCCATTCAACCATTATGGAGATAGTACACTAGCAATGGCTAGTTGAAAGAGAGTGGTCAAGAGATAGGAGGAAGGAAAGGAAAGGAAAAGCAAAGACCAAGAAGAGAGTTTTAAGAAGGACCTGAGCTGGGCACCGTGGCACATGCCTGTAATCCCAGCAACTCTGCAGACTGAGGCAGGAGGATTCCAAGTGAAAGGTCAGCCTCAGAAATTTAGTAAGATCAATAAAAAGGGCTAGGGATGTAGCTCAGTGGTTAAGCACCCCTGGATTCAATCCCTAGTACCAAGAGGGCAGGGGAAAGGAGGAGGACCTGGTCAGTAGTATTTAATACTATTGAGATCAGAACTGAAAATAACTATCAGATTTATGATATAGAAATAGAGGTTATGGGTGTTAATAACAAAAGCCACTTGTGTGGAATGATGGAATCAGAAGTTGGGAAGTGATGAAGAAATAGAGACTACCACAGTTTGTATTCAAAATAGTCTTTCTGTCTGGTTATAGCCCTGACAGTAATAGGATTTGAGAAGACTGCCTCCCCATAGCAGCTAGAACTAATATATGCATGGATCATGACTTAGGGGTGACCTGCCTGGAGCAAGTCATAGTCACAGAGGGACAGGTGAGTCTGGTTATGCTGAGCAAGGTCATTTCTTGAAGAGCAGGACTAATCAAATACTGCTCCAAGGGGCAGGTGACAGTGCCTAGAGACCTGTAACATTCACAGGGGTCTCAGAGATCTGAGGTCAACTTGGGTCAGGAAGGAGCAGATGTCACAGGGCAGCCCATGGCTGGGGACAGCATCAGGCATGCAGTTTTCTGGATACCTGACTGCCTCAGAACAATATTGTTATGTCAGTGACCCTCATTTCTCTTTTATGGGCTTAGACAAGAAATTTCATCATCAGTGCCCGGGTGTTGTAAAACTGCTCCAATTCTTTATGGATTGGAATCTGCCTTTATTAGATGCGGGAAAGCTTCATTCTCTGACCGGAGAATATCAGGCTTCTCAGGGAAAACCTTTTTGTGTCAGGATTGCCAGTGGTTCCTCTGTTGTCACACTGCTCCCTGCTCCCAGAGGCACCTAGAGACTCCTGATAGCCTTGAATATGAAGTGTCACAATACCTAGTTCCTAGGCCTTTACTTCCTCTGGTATGAAAATACATTTCATTTCTCCATGTTTTGGGTTCTTTCCCATTACTGAGGTTCACCCTTCCTCAGCCATCTTATACCGGTGGTTCTCAGACTCCAGCATATGGCATCAGAATAACCCTAAAGGGCTGGTTAAGTGCAGGATACTAGGCCCCAGCTCTAGCACTTTTGCTACAGCAGGTAGGACCCTAGAATTTACTATTCTAACCAGCTCCTGGGGCCATGCTGATGTTGCTAGTTCAACACTTGAAAGACTCCTATGGTTTGCTTTCACCAGTGATGAAAATATGTCTTAGTGGGAACATGTCATCTACACGTGGCCTTTCCCAGAGACATTGAGTATCCATAGTTCTATCGTGAAGCAGCAAAAAAAAGAGCAGCTCCATTTTTTTGTTTGTTTTTGTGTTTGGTACCAGGGATTGAAGTACCACTTTACCACTGAGCTACATCCCCTGCTCTCTTTATTTTTTTATTTCAAGAAAGGGTCTCAATGAGTTTTCCAGGCTGGCCTTGAACTTGCAATCCTGCAGCCTCAGCCTCACAAGTAGCTAGAATTACAGTTTTGTGCCCTGCACCAGGCGAAAGGGCAGCTCCATTCAGCAGTTAAATATAATAAACACACTTGGTTTTCTAAACTTATGTTTACTCCATCAAGTTATTGTTCAGGGCTTGGGGCACAGTAATAAAATAAGCCCCTCAAATACCTGCTTTGCTTTTCTATTCTTCCAAAGGGGTGTTTGAAGATGAATCCAGATGACAGGTTAACCTGTGCCCAACTCCTAGAGAGCTCCTACTTTGATTCCTTTCAAGAAGATCAAATGAAAAGAAAAGCACGTAATGAGGGAAGAAACAGAAGGCGTCAGCAGGTACCTCCATTCAAAAGTTAATGTGCTCTAAAAATTATTCCATTTTTCTACCTTTCAAAGTGAGACAAGGTAGACGCCAACACCTTTTCCTGTTCTGGTTAAGTTGCATTTGTTTATATTAATAAATATTGATGATTGATGTAATAAAATCTAAAACTATGAAAATATTCAGATTGCTGTGAAATCTTATTCCAACTACACTTATTTTCTCTTTGAGATGGGCTCTCACTATGTTGCCTAGGTTGGTCTCCAACTCCTAGCCTCAAGCAATCGTCCTGCTTCAGCCTTCCAAGTAACTGGGACTATGGGTGCACACCACTGTGCCAGCTTGCACTCAAATAATCACATAACTCGTTTACTACATTGGCAACCTGCCAGATCGTGTACGTAAAATATAACTTTATACAGTGAAACCCTGATTAAACAGGACTGAGTTTTACTTCCATTACAAAGAATCCAGTTCCCTTTCTGTTGCCTCCAGATGCACAATAAAAGAAATTTGACTCTTCCATTTTTCACCCATGAAGACAGCTAGGTCTGCCTTTTTTAGGCTTTACCTTGAAACCAAGGACAAGCTTTGTCAGAAACAAAGGGATGAAACCAGACATCTGGGAATTAAATCATATCTTAAAATGGGCTAATATTGCAAAACAAAATGGTGACTGTTATGATTAACCTTAATTTTGCAGTTTATTAGGTCCTTCACTTGGTCTCAGAATAACTTTGAAGTTAAAACAGAAACTTCATGAAAGTAGGTTTCTTTTGGTTAGAGGTTTTCTTTTTTTTTTACTTTATAAACCCAGCACCTAAAACAATATTTGACATATGGAAGGTATTTAATAAATACTAATATATATGCATAAATATATTAATATTTATGCATATATACATATATTAGTATTTATGCATATATATACATATATATACATACACACACACATATATAGTTTACTAATAAACTAAGATGATAATTTTCAGTTTATCAGAGGCTGACCATTGTCACATTTTGTGTTTACTTAATCTTCCATCTTCTATCTTTGATCTAGTTTTTGGTCATTTATCCTCTCATTAGCATGCCTTCCATAAAGGAAAAGATAGTCTCCCCTCCGCCAAACCCCATCTATTAGTAGTTAAAATAGAAGTTTGTTGGGAGGAAAAAAAAGATCAAACTAATTAGTAAAATGAAATGTTAAATTATTTCTGTGTATGTAAAATATCTGGGTATCCAACTTTTTATTTCATTTACCCTTCACTATTAATCTTTCACAAATCAAGCCCAGTGCCTATTACACTTATATAACAAAAAAAAAAAAATAGAGTTTGTTTAAATAAGTTTTAGGCAGCAATCTAAAATATAGTGTGAATTGTGTAAAAAAAGCTCATTGCTCCCTTAAAAATATCTCACCTATTCTGCACCACTGGCTTGGGAGGAACAACAGTCTCACAGCCCACCCTGCCTCTTGCCCCCACCCTTATTTGTTTTTCTACCTGAGGAATTGTCATCACACTGGCCTTGAGGGGGCTGGGGGCTTGAGGTGCTGCTTTCCCTTTAAGGCTCTGGTGCACAGCCATGCCATCTTCTCCTTCACAGTCTGAGTCCAACTAATGCCAAGCAGAAACTTTGCAGAAGGGTTCCAAAGACTCGGGTCAACAGAAGGAAAAGGAACACAAAGGCAGTGTGCACTAGATAATCTCATTTAAAAGATTACAATGTGTTCTGTACCCTTAGTAAATGGCATCTTATCCACCCACACACCGTGGGCCGGTCCAGCACCCACCATGAGACCACACTCAACAGCTCCCTCTGCTTAGGAAGGCCCAGAGAGCAAGGCCAGGGGGTGGAAGAGGATGCCATTCAGATTCTGGTTCTCTTTCTGAGGACATTCCTAGAAATTACTATATCAGAAAAGAAACTAAAAATTACAGAAAGATTTTTTTCATTCAGTGTGATTACATCTTATAAGTTCAAATTTCTATCTAGATTCTGGTTTCTACATCTCTGAGTGAATGACCAACATCTTCCTTACAAGTAAATAGTGTCTAAGAGGTAGTAGTAAAGAGGTTTGAAGCCCGTGCTGTTTGACCAATATCCTAGCTTTTAAAAATGTGAAATGGGGAAATGACAACCCTTGGAATTATTGTTTTATAGCTGGTATAGAGCTATCTTTTAAATATTGACTAAATATTCAGAAATAAGTGTATCAGAATAAAATAACAGTACATCCATGAAAATTCTGGAATAACTAATAGAACCTAACTTTCAAGTATCAGAAGATTGCCATTTTTGGAAAGGTAACTAAGCATGATTTTTGAATTGATGCTCTTGACATCTTTGTACCATACATATCCTTTTTTTTGTTTTTTACCACCTTTAACTCAAACTGTACCTGTAGGAATTGTTTTCAATTTACGTTCTTATTTTTGTCTTGTTCTGCTATTAGAATCAACTGTTGCCTCTCATACCAGGAAGCCACATCTCCCCCACACCTGATGGAAGAAAACAAGTCCTCCAGTTAAAATTTGATCATCTTCCAAACATTTAGGAAAATGTTCTTTCAAGTGCAAAGTAATTTAATATGTACATATTTTTGTACAAGCGAGATAGGAATTCTCAGTGTTTCAAATGCAAATGAGCCATATGAAAATTAAGATGCCTTCTAGAATTGTTTTGCTCTGATCATTGCTGATTCCTTTCCCTGTGCTTTTTACATGCCAACTTTATCTTTTAGAACATTTTCTTTAAATGTTATAAGGCCTGAAACTGCACATATGGAGGAGACATTTTCAATTTCATCAGAGCTGTCCCTCTTAGACAATTTATATTGAGAATTTGTGGACTTATACTTCAATTTATGAAAAAGATTTTCATTTATCATCCTGCTTCAACTGAACCCATAATATCTTAAAGCTTAACACATAATATCTTATCAAATCTCCTGCCTATATGTTGTTTAAGGAATGACATTTTGTTCCTGCATTTTAATTCACTCTCATTGTAACTATATCTATTGAGCAAAACTGGTATTCCATGTTTATATTGGTGTAGGATGGGAAATTTGAAAGGTTATCTAGGTTTATTCCTTGATTCCAGAGCAGACTCTATATTTCCTCTGCCTCATGAGACACTGACAATTCTATTTTTAAAGCTAGCTAGAGAAAATTCCACACACATTCCATACATAGCAAATTATGGACAAACAACAAGGAATCACTATCCTCCTGATAATAATGCTCTTGAATTACTGCCTGCTTATTCTGATGGTACCTCATTATGCCCTATTCTTTTTTTCTGATTAAATCATCTTCATACCTAAACCAGTCCTCCTTAAGTGTGTTATCTGAACAGTTCATTGCCAATATTTTGTTTCAAATATTGGCATCCATAGCTTCTACAAACTTGTACTGCCCCAAAACTGTTGAGGGCATCATAAACAGGTCCAGTTTGTAAATGCATACAAAAGCAAAAAGGTTGTCTTTTAGTTAATTTCATTTTGTGTCTCTTATCAAAATAAGAAAAAGAAAATGAGGTAAACACTTCAATAGGTAAGACAGAATTGTGCTGGAATATTTTCCCAAGTGAACTTGACATACAATCCCCTAATACAACACACACACACACACACACACACACATATTTATAAGTTTTGAACCATCATAGTAGATGCCTTTATGTTGGAAATCTAAAATGAAGCAGAATGATTGAAAAAACTTTTAGTTTGCTAATATGGAACTCATGTAAAATAGTAGAGGGCTGTCTATCACTGTCTGGCAGAAGGCACAAAAAAATGATGTTCCCATCAATAAAAATTAAGCATGCTCCTAGGCTGGCATGCTTGCCTAAATGTCGTCAAATTTTGCACATATACTACATTGCAAAAATTCTTTGTGTCTGGCTCCAAGAATTAAGCATATAGTGTTATTAAGGAAACAGAACACCCTATGTTCTTCTCTGAAGATCTATTGCACTTATAAACATGGCTGTGTAAACTTCCAGAAAATCTCATTCAGTTATTTAGGAGCATCCACTTTCCTAAGGAATTACAGCATCTAAACAATCATTTCTTGTCCAGTAGAAGGACTTTGACAGGGGTAAATATAAGCTGTCAGGGTCTTATTACTTCATCTTGTTGTCAAGAGTGTACCTCTTCAGATTTGTGTTTCTTGCATTTTAAAATAGGATGATATCACAGGTTCAGGGAAAATGGGGAAGAAAAGATAAAAGGCAACTTTACTGACAGATTTCTTTTTAGCCATCATAGTTTTTTTTTTTTTAATTTAAGCCTTTTTATTACCAAACTCCTCATCTGCTCCACCTCTCCCAAACATATACACATATTATGCATGCATGTCTACCTATAATGTAATACAGAGAGAGAGAGAGAGAGAGAATGAGCAGGGAGTATGTGGCTCCATGATCTATTTTGCTTTCAGTTGTATGTTTAACGATGAAGTTTTGGCAGGGATTGGTGGGATAACTGCCTTGTCTTATTTTTGCTTTCATGTAAGAATTAATTCAGGAGTCCTATATTCCCATGCCTGAGGAATGTAATACATTTTGTTGTGGTGGTTTTTTCCTGTTTAAAAAAATAATTAATTCAAACTATCATATCTCTCTGTCTCTTTTTTCCTTCAAATCTATCACTGGGTATCCCTGGGGAAGGGAGAGAAGAAAGCATCTAACCTTAGAAAATGTTCTGATACAGTCATATTGTTATATTACTGTGAAGAAAAATAATCTTCTGGTTACATTTGCCAGTGTGGTTGTCCCTAGGTGACCCAGGCTACATAGCATTGCTGCCCAGGCCTGTATCACTCTGGGGCACAGTCCTCAAGCTCTTTTCTGTTTCAAGTACAAATCTCTCACCACCAAACCACACAAAATTTCCTTGCACTTCTCAGCCCAATGCAAGACAGTTGCACTTCAGTATCTGTGCCCAAATTCAGTGATGACTCTTGTAAAACTATTCAGGAAGCAGTCTTGCCCCAGGCTCTTCACCTTGGCCCACTTGATTCTATGACCATGTGTTTCCTTTAGAGGATTGTACAATTTCTGGCTTACCTGGTTCTTGTCTCATTCCTTCCAATTTCAACCTTTTAATCTATCACTGTCCCAATCCTGTACCATCATGGTGAGTGATGCCACCTGAATGTCACTCTGAATGCCCCCTCTGCATGATCTCTTCTCACTTTGCAGGTTTCCTCAGACTTCATAATGTGTATCTGGGAGACTCCAAACTACCTTTTTGCAGTGCTCTTTGCTGACCATTAAAGGCTTTGAGCCAGTCAAGGTGGTGCAGGCCTAAAATCCCAGCAACTCAAGAGGCTGAAGCTGGAGGATCACAAGCTTGAGGCCAGCCTCAGCAACTTAGGGAGACCCTGTCTCAAAATAAAAAAATTAAAATAGCTCAGTGTTTAAGTGACCCTGGATTCAATCTCCTGTTTAAAACAAAACAACAATAACAAAAAATAAAAACAGAAACCCCATAGACTTTACTTACTCTTAGAGGAGTTTCATTAAAAAGAAAAAAAAAAGGAAAGAAAGAAAGAACATTTAATTAAACTCTCTTAGCCCTGGAAGCCAAGGGGCATGGCCTGTCTGTAGTCTCTGACGCAGTCTTGGGAATATATGAATGTAATCATTCCAACTTGCCCTGACCACCAAATCCTTTTATCAGGTCACTTTTTGAAGATTAAGGAGACTGAATCACTAATAAGTTGTGATTTCAAATCCTTGGGATTGGGGAGATGATTGGTAAAGAGTAAAAATAAGGACTGGAGTTGTAGTGGTAGAGCACTTGCCTCGCAAGTGTGAGGCACTGGGTTCAATCCTAGCACTATATAAAAACAAATAAAGGCATTGACAACAGTCTATATACAACTAAAAAAAAAATTTAAAAAGAGTAAAAATAAAGCCTTCAGATAGAGAATGCAGGATGGAAACAGATCTCCTTTCTTTTGAGTTAGATATATCACTGCAGATTTCTCCAACAAGAAGACATTAATAAGTTAACTTGAAAAAAAAATAAATTCTGAAGCTGTTTTTGCTTCTTTTGCATACTTGCCATAGAATTACAATTTTTCAACAAGTTGGCAATTTCTTTGTCATTTGTCATCACTAATGATTTCCAAGCCTGGTTTTGGAACAACTTGAGTGGTACAGAATTCTGCACACCCCACCCCCTGCACAAGTTTTTAAAATTAGAATGTACTATCAGAAGAGAAATGATCCACAAACAGTAATATCTTGAAAACACTGGGGAATTACTGTAAGGTATTTGTTTAATTGTAAAGACAGAAATTTCTTATGCATTTAGTTAGGACATGAAGATAAATGTCACTTGCAAGTTCTGGATGTATGTATGTTTGTTCTGTATTGAAATTTTTAACTCGACAGCTTCATTCTTGTTTTATTAGACTAGAAGTCTATAAATGTGGTAGTTGAATCGGGCACATTGTCACACCCTGTAATCCCTGCAGCTTGGGGGAATAAGGGTAGGTGAGACAGGAGGATCAAAAGTTCAAAGCCAGCCTCAGCAACTTAGAGAGGCCCTAAGCAACTTAGCAAGATCCTGTCTCAAAATAAAAATTTTAAAAAGGGTTGGGGATGTGGCTCAGTGGTTAAGCACCCCTGGGTTCACTCCCTGGTGCAAAAAAAAAAAAAAGTTGTAGTTAGAGACTAATAAATTATTGAATCTGGGAATTTGGACAACCAGGTTCTTGGCCTGGCTGCAACTCTCTGTGTAGTCTTGAAAGTATGTGAAATTTTGGGGGACTTTATTTTATTATTCATAAAATAAGAGGGTAGAAAAACTAGATGATTTCTAGGCGCCTTGCATCATAAACTTCTATGATTCTCTGTAGCATATAGCATTTGTATTCTAGATATGACTCCTGTTAGAAGAGGCTCTTTAGGGGTTGTTTTTCAATAACAATATCAAGATAAAATTTTGGCGTGTATGATCTAGCCAGGAAACCTCTCTCTCTCTCTCTCTCTCTCTCTCCCTGGCTTGCTTTCAGTCACTCACATAAACATTCAGACTGCTATACCCTGTTACTTCCATCAAATCAACAGTCGTTAGTTGACAGACAACCATTAAACATGGTAGCTTTTATAAACAAAAGTGGATTTTGAAGCTAACTTTCACTAGATTTTAATTAATGTAAATAAAATATGTGTGCTCTTAAAATTTGGGGTCATATATGCTCATCCTTTGATGTTTTAATCTAACTCCAGTTAGCTTAGAAATGACACATGCGCTGTGAAGATATCCATCCAGGCAAACAATGTTTAATAAACTTCTATTTTCAGCAAAAACTTTTAGTAATTTCATTAGACAATAACTTAATGGAATTCTACACATGTATCTAAATTATCACGATTTTATTTCAGCAGTAGGGACTTGGGCTCAGTCAATAATTTATTTACACCTACAACTTAATCAAGCTGAAAACTGGTAATCCCACTCAACAGGCATATAAATGTTTCATATTTTTAACGTTATGTTTTCTATTGTGAGCACTACTTATTGACCATGTTACTAAATATTGTCACTTTGAAGATGCTGCGTGTCTACTTAGTATTGTAGAACATAACTGTATAGAAGCAGGAATATTGCAAATCAGTTGAAATTGTAACTATTTGTCAATTAGCATTTGATAATTAGCATAATGATAATTTAAATTATTAGAACCAATTTACTGCAAAGTAGTTTTAGTTGTATTATTTAAATATACATAACATCATGCTATTTAAAAAACACAGCTTTAAATATTTAGAAAACTTACATATAGGATTAGATGCTTTGATGACTTCATGTTTGCATATATAGCCTGAATCTGTTCTTTAGCTCATTTTAATAAAAGCTAAAAATATGTGTCTCCTAATTTCTGTTCAACTCAGCTCTTAGTCCATTGTCTAATTCTTTTTTTATTTTTAGATGGAAACAATACCTTTAATTTTTTCGTGGTCCTGAGGGTCAAACCCAGTGCCTCACATGTGCCAAGGCAAGCACTCCCACTGAGCCACATCCCCAGCCCTATTGTCTAATTCTTTATATTTAAGTGAGAAAAACTGCCATGTTCATATGTAAATTCTACAACTTGTTATTTAATTTCATATTGGTTGGAACAGCTCAAGAGCTGACATGCAAGCTATTCTTTGTGCCTTGGACTGGGAGTCTTACAAATGGGAAAACTAACAAAATGTTCTCCAGACTGATTAGCCAGATGCTTATCCCTGAGAACATCTTTACAACTTTACTTTGAGGCTGTAAGTTTTTTTTTTTTATTTCAATTTATCACAATATTTCTCTGACCCTTTACAATACTTAAGCTACAGGATGTGAAGTTTTCTTGCACCTTCGTTTGCAGCCTTTCCCAGTAGTTTCTGTTGTGGGTTTTAAAAAAATGAAAAGGACTCAAGACCAAACTCAGACCAACGATCAAAAGAAAGGAAAACAATTGGTAAAATAACTAATGAGGTCACTATTTAAATATGCTTCATTTATTTTCTCTTGAACTAATATATCTGCTTTCATTATTTTTAATAGTTCCTGTGTTTAAAAGAACACAGTAGAAGGTTTTTTCCAATGATGACTGCAACAGTTCCTCCCATCCCACACGCCCTTTGCAATGACACTTTGCCACTCCTTTTGTCAAGAGATGAAGTTTCTTCATCCCTCCTCACTTTGAATCCAGCCTGGCTTTGTGGCTTCCCGAGGCCCAGAGAATGCAGCAGAGGTGAGAGGCTGTGTGTTTCTGGGCTGAGCCCTTAAAAGGCCTGGCAGCTTCTGCTTCCTTTCTCTGGGGAGACAGCCACGATGCTGCGAAGGAGAATAGGCTGATTACCAAAACACCACGTGGAGAGAAAGGTCCCTGCGGAATAGGAAGGGGCCAGACACATGAGTGGAGTCTTCCTGGACCTTCGGACTCAGTGTAGCCACCAGGCAATATAGCCGAATGAGTGTCCCTCGTCGGAATGAATAACTGCCCAGTCATTATTGTTTTGGATGATTTGCATGTTAGTCAGCTTTATCACTATAATAAACAGCTCAGACAAATCAGTTTATAAAGAAAAAAGGTTTATTTTGACTCATTCCATGGTCAATGGGACAGGTTGCATTGGGCCTGTGGCAAAGTCACACATGGTGGGAACCCATGGAGTGTTACTTGTCCTGAAAAAGTCTTCATCTCCAGATCTCCTTTCCACTGTTTTTCCCTCCTCTTTTCTAATTACCCTCCTCTCTTGCCAACATCTACTTTTCTTGGATTTGAATCCCAACTCTACGTCATTACTTTTCATCCTTCACCAAACACTCATCATTCCACACTCTGCTGTGACAAAGATCTGCTCCATTATCCAGTTTCTTTCTGGATTTTTCAATCTCTTCCATCTATTACCTGCAATTTTCCGATAAGGGAAAATCATCTTGTATTTAATCTTGTCTAATATAAGAACTCCCCGGGGCTGGGGATGTGGCTCAAGTGGTAGCACGCTTGCCTGGCATGCGTGTGGCTCGAGTTCGATCCTCAGCACCACATAAAAAGATGTTGTGTCCGCCGAAAACTAAAAAATAAATATTAAAAAAAAGAACTCCCCAAATAATACCAGCACTATCTGATATAAATTTCCACATAATCCTAGATTAAATTAAGATAAATCATTCCCACAATATATTTTAAAGATCAGCATCTCTCTGGATGTAATATACCCTCTTATTTCTTAAATGTAGTCCCATTTAGAAAATAAAAATTGATTTCATCAAACATTCCCTCTAAATTATGAGTTCCAAGTCATAAATCAGCTTCAAATGGATCTATTGGAAGTTCCTTTTCCATTTTCAAATCCAGTTTTCAATTGTAACCCAGGACTGCTACTGTGACTACTTCCAACCTAGAACAAAAGATCTCTGCCCCTGGCCCTGCTAATCCCTAGCTTGCTTTTCTCTTCCCATTGAGCTCTTTGTGGCTTGAAAATGAATAAAGCCATAATTCTGCCCTCCTAGCTGACTAGTCTAGAAGAGATAAAAAAAAAAAATCCTTCTGCATTCTGTATTAAATATTTAACACCTGAAAATTCATCTGGGTTCCAAAGTAAGCCCACCAGGAAAAGAGATTAGGGAGATTAAGCACCAGTCAGAATATTTACATGAATTTCTTTAAAGAAATAACAACCAGGAGCTGTTTGTCATCAGTGTGCTGAAAAAAATGGAGGTGTGGGCTTCCTAGCGTCACTAGGTGAGCCCACTGCCCCTCTCTTAGGCAGTTTACTTTTGTTTCAATAAATCCCCTTGTTCGCTGGGCACAGAGGCACAAGCCCATAATCCCAGCAACTCAGGAGGTTGAGATGGGAGGATGGCAAATTCAAGGCCAGCCTCAGCAACTTTAGGAGACCCTATCTGAAAACATAAAAAGGGCTAGGGATGTAGCTCAGTGGTAAGGCACCTCTAGTTTCAATCCCCGGTTCAAAAAACCAAACAAACAAACAAAACCCTTATTTTGTAAAGAAAGAAAAACAAAAATGGAGGTATGAACTGGGGTGGGTGAGGTTATTAGGTAGCCGGAGGATAGATAGCAGGAAGGTATTGGGTATTTCTTTAGGGAACTGGGAATAGAGGGCACCACAAGAAATGAGAAATTGAAGTGAAGATATGCCTACAGCAATCCTTGTCTGCTTGGAAAATTTACCAATGCCAGCCTTGGCCATCTTTTATTCCAAAGAAATCCATCAAAGCCATGTGAGGAAGGGGAAGGGGAAGGCCTTGGCTGGGTTCTAGAGCCAATTCTGCTACTAACTGCACAAAGTTGGGCATGATCTCTTCTCTCATTGGCCTCCCAGTCTGTAATGAGGAGTAATTAAGCCAGATGATTTTAAGGACCCTTCCAGGTAAGAGGTTTTGTGAAATGACATTAACAAACAGCTGTCATCTATCTATTATCTATTGTCTTTTCCTCGGGTCTGTTGCAGACTGAATGGAGAGGTGAGGACACAGAGAGGGCCTAGCTAGGAAGCATAGTTTGCCAGTTTCCTTCACGTAATTTCTAATCTACTGTATTCTACTCCATTCTCTTGTTTGCTGCAGAGAGCTGTCTCCACACTGGCAAGTACAAAATCCTAAGGGTGTAGTCACTTTGCAAGAAAAAGCTCAGCTTTCAATTTTTTAAGCAAACCAAAGATCTAGAAATGTTTTCTATTATTCATCCCTGGGCTGGGTTTTTGTTTTGTTGTTGCTGTTGTTTGTTTTTCCTTAGTAAACACTCCAAACTCCTCATTGCCATCCGTGATGGCACACCATAAATCAACAATCTGGACCCCACTCTGAAGAGGAAGAACGCCTTTCTTGCCCAATGAGTGCACAACAGGCCCTTTGATTGATAAAACTGACAAAGAAAAACACACATGTAGAGAGAATAGCTATTAAATATGCGTGACATTCAAAGTTCAAATTTCAAATTGCACAACTCCTAAAGATTAAAGTAAATCCTTGGCTATGATCCCAAGAAGGCTCCATCTAGCAACACCACCAGATTTCCCCGCACACTCGCAATATGTGAAAATCCCAGAACATTATTTACAGTATTTTGGATTTTTATTTTATCTTTCTGAGCACCAGTTCCCTTAAATGCACACAAACTCAAAAAAAAAAAAAAAAAGAGTGGTTTTGTAATTGCTGCTGCTGTTGTTGGCTTTTTTTTTTTTATTTTCAGAATTTCTCTACCCATAAGGGGACAATACTGACCAATTTAGTACAATATTTTAGGAAATTTGACAGGATCAAGGCTAGGAAGAAGCATTAAATAATTATAGAAATCTCAAACCTTATGCAGTAAAAAGGAAAGAAATATTTGAAATCAATATTCTAAATATAGAGCAGCTGTCAAGTTGAAATACAAATTATTAATGCATTATGGAGACAAATAATGACTTTTCCAATTCATTTTAATTTCCCCAATTTGTGCAAGTATTATGTATTTACATATACAAGCAATTACTATTTTATTTGATGAATAAATATATTATAAACATCTGTATGCAATATACTGTGTTGAAATATATATATATATATATATATATATATATATATATATATATATATATGGTAAAATCAAGCCATTCCACATATGCATTACCTCACATACTATCTTTTGTGTATGTGGTGAGAACACATAATCTACTCTCAGCAATTTTCCAGGATATGGTACATTGTTCTTAACTCTGGTCACCATGCTGTACAGTAGATTTCTGGAACTTTTTCCTCTTATCCAACTGAAACATTGTATTCCATGACCAACACTTCCCCAACATGTATGTTCCATTACCTCTTTTCTGATGGACTGTAAGTTATTGGTAGAATAATAAACTAAATGGTAATAAGCCCTGATTAAATGCCAGATATTGTATGGGATGCTTTCTATGTAATCTCGCCTGTATTCTCTCAGGCAACGTAAGTATCCACATTTTACAAATGAGTATTCTCAGGTTCAGAGAGGTATCGGAAAGCAGTAGAGCTAGCTTTAAAACTTTCAGAAATCTTCCACCAAATTTGTCACTTATATTTGCATGTAAAGCTGGTAAGCATTAACTATCTAAAGTCAAATTCCTTTCTCAGGGGTACTTTTAAATTTTGATCAACTTTTACATCCTGATATTTGTGATTTCTCTTATGGTAATCTTAATTAAAAATACTGCATCCTTAACTAAATGTATAGCCTCAATTGTAAAAGTGTTTGGTGTTTTTTTGTGAGCATCTCATCAATTTGTAAATGAAGTCATCTACATATTCTTCTGTATGTGCAAGGCCTGGCTCTAATCAAGGTGATGGTGTTAAAATTATCATGAAATATGAACAGTCACATGAATGCTATATAAAAAGATAATGTGGGAC